AAGCATTTCCCAGCCATGGCAGGTCTGTCAGGCAGCACCAGCTGGGCAATACCTTTTAGCCATGAAAGCTCCTGAGAGTGGGAAGTTCACGGCCAGAGCCACAAGCACGTGGCATCGACCGATGTCCAAAATGCAGCCTGGGCACGGCGCTCCCCTGACAGCCAGCAGAACCTGACCCTGCCAGTGCTCACCACAGCCTCCAGGTACATAACACCTGCTGAGCTCAGCTGGGGGGGGCTCCCAAAGCTGGGGGGGCTCCCAAATCCAGCCAAGGGCAGATCTGTGGCCTCCTCTGAGCCTCCAGCGCTCCCTGATTCCATCCCCGTTCCATGGAACACTCGATATCACTTCAGACTGGATACTGAAATCACTTAGCAGCAATAAAAAAGAAAAGCGCCACAGAATTGAATCCCATTTTGCTCAGCACACATCTCTGAACTATTACCAGTGTGAAATGAAATCTAATGTCTCCCATAGCAATCCCATCTTCTCTGCCCTTTTGTTTTTCTAGGAGCGGTATGATACACTAAATCCATTTGGACACACAACAGCACACGGCTCAGAGCACAGGTTTCAAGAAGAGATTTTCAAATGTCTGTAGCCAGAACAGCAGGTTGTTTTCAGCCCTCACACTCTCACATAAAAATCCATTACTGAAAGCAGAAGGAGACAGTGCAAACACCTCAGTGTGTTGCTTTGGGCTGGAGCAGCTCCCCAGGCCTCCCCAGCAGCTGCTATGGGGCTGGGTTCTGGATTTGGGCTGGAAACAGTGCTGAGAATTTGGGGATGTTTTCATTGTTGCTGGGCAGTGCTCACACAGAGCCATGGCCTTGTCTGCTCTCCTGTAACCCAGCTCCTTTTCCTTAGGTGGATTCTCGTGCTGTACACACAGAAAATGGGATTGAATCGCTGCAGTTTCATCTGATGCCCCTTCGGGGACAGGAACTCTGCAGTGGCACAAACACTGCCAGAAAATGGGACCTGCTGGGATCCCAATGCCCTGACTCTCACAGGAAGAGCAGGGCAGCTGCTCTGGGCTGTGCTATCAGAGGGTGCCAAACGCTCCCTGAGACTCAGCCTTCCTTTCCTGCTTTGGTGATGCCACCTCCTTCTCCCAGCCCACATCTCCTGTTCCCCAGCACTGGAGTTTTGCTGGAACAGTGCACACAAGGCAGGTGACTGATGTGCAGAGCCAGCTAAGTGATGATGTGAGGGCAAGTGAGGATACAGTGTGCCCCAAGGAGGGGTTCTGGGGGAGGATTTCTGCACTGTCAGTCACTGAGAACAGATGCAGCTCATGGAGCTCGGGCAGAAAGCTCATCTGATTGCTCCTGGCCAAGTTTAGATGATGGCCAGTCAACAAAATGCGATGCCCAGGAGACTGTGAAACTAAACCCTCTGGAAACATGTCCAGAGAATAAAGCAAGTGTAAGGCAGCACTGCACTAATAAATCAGCTGAGCCCTCAATGTAACAGAGTCAGATTTGTGTGCAACGAGGCTGTTTGACCCGTCTGAGCGGCCTGTCAGAGCTGTTCTGTCACACTAACACACATAATTACTTGCACTGGGCAAAGTACAGTCAGCTGCCAGGTTTTCTCAAGTTTAATAAAGGCTATTATTTCCTGCAGTCTCTCTAGGTAGCTGCCTGGTCCAATGTCTTGTTGGATGGCATTTTTAACTCCTCACTGTTATTTCTGGAGTTCCAAAAATGTCACAAAGACAGGATCTGGCGTTGGGAGCCTTTGACGCAGCTCGTCAGAATTACAGACTGACTAGTTACAAACTAAAAACTCCTAAACAAAAATAAAACACTGTTGGGAGGGAAGCTTGCTAAATATCTGCACTGCTGATCTTGCTCAGTCAATAACAATGGTGTATGAAAGATGCAAGTATCAAAATTTAGCAAAATAAAAGCTAAAGGTGAATGCTACTTAAAATAAATCCCTGTTCTGCAGACAACAACAGGGAATATATTATTGATTACAAGGCAGCTAATTATTTCATGGAAGGATATGTACACAGGTTTTCTCCATCTGACTTTCAGACAGAGTCTGCCAATCAGTGCTGGGCCAGAACACGAAGCTTTTGCTGGCATTAAAGAGCATCTCATGGTGCGGAGCAAGGCAACATTTGGCAACAATAACATGACCACAATCTGTCCTCTCATTCATGCTCAAAGTTCAGCAGAATCCTGCAGGAAATTGTACTTCCACCATTTTGTTTTCCCTCTGTAACATAGAACTGCTGCTTGAACGAAAGCACTGAGCCCCACTGCCCAAAACCACTTTGGATGGGGAAATGGAAAACTGCAAAACTGTGAACTGAGTTTCTCCCACTTTTAGAATCAATGGCAAAAGGCACGGTTCAAGCAAAGGGAATTCCCACACTAAGGCAGGGATGGAACAGGCTGGCCAGTTTGGCACTGGATATCCAGAAGCTCTGCCCACAAGGGGAGCTCCCAGCCCCAGAGCCGAGACAGCAAAGCCCACACCACATCCCAGCCTGCAGAGGCTCCATCTCGGGCAGGGGAGCTCCCTCTGCCCACTGCTCACCCTGCACTCACCTCTCATTCTCCACATCCCAGGTGACAAGAGGGCTTTTCTCTTTCCACAGATGGATTAGTTTCTTTAAACAAACAACAAAATCAAGAAAATGAAAATCAGTACCAAAAAGAGAAAGAAAGTTCTCGTTTTCTAGCCTAAACACAGATTGGAGGATGCAGAGTAAATGTCTGCTCCTAATTTTCCTGATTAGACTTGAGATAGTAATATTAACAACCACTGCAATTTGCACTTAGTTCCCTGGAAGGAAATTTCACTCAAAGTCATTCATCTTTCTTTAGTTTTTCTGTTTCCACAGGCACTGAAAACAGCAAAAGAAGGACTCCTAGGGTGAGGAACAGATGGGTGGAAGGACAGGTAGAAGGTGCCTTTCTGCAGTGCAGGTGGGAGGTTCATTTCTGCACAGGTTCTCTCCCTTTCCTGGGCCACGTTTCCAGGAGACAGATGTTCCAGCTTCATGCATGGATTTCTGCACATGTATAATCTGGGTAAAAACTTCTTGTCACCATTTATATATTAATCATATCCCTACTGCAAACAAAGGTCAGAAGCTCTTAGATGGAAATATATTGTTCCCCTGGGTAGAAAAAGTTAGCCCAGCACTAAAAGCCCTGGGTTTTGCTGCTTCCCCCCAGTCAAGGCTGTGTTTGTGTCTCTCAGTTGAGGTGTATGGCAGACACCCATTTCATGGCACCTACAGGCTGTGTATGCTATAACAGCATCCTCATGTCAAAATTAAATTTATTTTGTGAGACACTGCCTCCTAAAGTGCGTTTAACACATAAATGTGAAGGGAGACTATTAGCATGGCTGTTAGGCCATCATAAAGGATGTTCATGACTTGTCTCTTAATTGTGCTTTTTCACTCATCCTGTGGCAGTACAATTCCCTTTTCAACCACAAACCATGCCCATGACATACATATAATGCAGTAAAACTGATGTACATAAGAGGAATGGATCACATTAACCTGTGCAATTGAATCAGAAGACAATGCAACTGCAGACAGTTTGTAATTCAGGGAGCCTCAGAAGATTTTGAAAGATCCTGTTGCTGCAGAGAGCTCTGGCTGTTTGGTTTATAATTTACAGCATACGCGTTTTCTATAAAACTTGCAAACATTAGATAAATGTAGGTGTTGGGTTTGATTATTTGCCCTAAATAACTCCTTAACCTTATCATTACAAAGGCTGTTCTCCCACCCTTTTTACCATGTCATATTGGCACACAGCTGTTGAAATGGGGACAAAAATCAAGATCTTGTTTGTGTTGGCCACAGTTTGTACTTCCATGACAAGCATTGGCCTGCTTAGATAAGACAGAATCAGTGACTGAATTCAGTAACATTAATGATTTTTCTTATAAAAGAAATCAGTCTTCCAGACCAGAGAATACCCTGTTAAAGCTGAAAACGCTGGGGGGGAAAATTAGAATGACAAAGTATTCCCTGCTGTTGGAATTTGACTTGTCTCACACTTAAAATTGCAATGCAGTAAGTTGTTCTGTACACAAATGTTGATAACTTTGTTTTTCTCTAATCTGAATAATTTCATATTGAACTGAAGCAGTAATATCCTCATGGGAATTGGCTTAAAGCAATGAAGGGAGATTTTACCAAATGTTCTCCAAGAAAAGCTGATGTTGTGAATAGAACTGGGAGACAGGCACAGCACTGAACCAGATATTCCAGGTTCCACGTGGTGCAGTCCACAGAGACAAACCAGATGTTTAGCACTACTGCTGATACACTTGTGTCCATGGAGAATTTTGCCATTTATTTGGAAAACATTTTATTAAAAAAGTCAAAAACCCCAGCACATCAGCAGCATGTGGTTTGTTATAGCAAATGTACAACCCAAGGTGTTAGAGAATATCAGATTTCTCTTTTAAAAAGAAGGGCTTAAAAAGCATTCAAACAGTTCAGCTTTAAAAAGCACAGTCTTTGTTATCTCAAATAGGCCGGACTGCTGCAGCCCAGCTATTTCTGAATAAAAGCAGGTCATTGGTGAAAAGAGGAGATTTGTAACAGCAGCCACATTGCAAAAGAGACTGGCAGATACAAGCAGCCATGGGAATAATGTGTGGGGTTTTGCATGATCCAGAATAGCTCCCACAGGATAAGATGAGGAATATGGGGTTGGACGTTTCATGCTTTTATGCTTTTTGTTCTCTGTGAAGACAACAGCTCTGAATTTTGAAAGAATGAACTTATTTTCAGCTGGCTAAAGATACGTACAGTGTTTAAAAGTCACTGGAATTGGGTGTTCTTGAGTCTCCAGCCGTCTTTTAAACAGACCAAAGCAAACCACTGGCACTGCAAATGGGTCTCAGTGTCACCAGAACAGAAGGACAAAAGCAGAGGCTCTGGCACTGGCTGCCACCACCCAGCAGTGACACTGGCTCCAGGGCCACCAGCCAAAGCCATGCTCTGTACTCACCTTCCACCTGCTGCCTTTCTCTCCTTGCTCTGGAAGCTCACTGCTGTTTGCCAAAATCCCTTAGCCCAGCCCGCTCCATGGAGCACCAGGCTGGAGGGAAGCTCCCAGAATTGCCCCTGTGGGAGAGAGGAGGAACAAGGACTTTGCTGCTGGTCCCCGCTGTGCTGCTCTGAGCCCAAACTGAGCTACCCTGGGTACCTGTGGTGCCTCTCAGCCCCTGCCAGCCTGAGCAGCCCTGGGTGCTGTGGCTGGCACACATCTCTGCATGGGCTGGACACCACTGCACTGCTTTAACCATGATACGCTGGAAAATGGAGCAGGGATCTCAATGGCCTTCAGCTGCTAACCTCAGGAAGCAGCTTGAAAAATATTATTATTGCAGCTGTTAATAGCTTCCAAAAGGATCACTCCCAGGGCTGCAAGAGCTCATTGACTTCACACAGACACATCCTTCTCCGAGGTTAAATGGGAATGGTTTGTGACCACACAGTTGAGAGCAGAATTACCTAATGAAGTGCACTTGCCTGAGCACAGCCAGCTCACACAGAGCTTTCATGCAAAGGTAAAAAGGTGCTTTTAATGTGAAAACCTGCTTTTGTTCCCAGCTTGGGAATGTTGATGGGAGATTGTGCTTCTAGGCTCTGGCACACATGTATGCATAAATGCACAGAGCTCTGCTAGCATTTGCACTATTGTGGTCTCAAGGGGGAAGAGGTCTGAAAAACAAACCTGGTTTTACAATGGACAGAAATAAAATTATCCAAGTTTGAGCATGTTAGTAACAGTGACAGCCAGACTTACCACGTTAAATCCACTCTGTTGAGAGGCTCCCCATGAAACAAGGCACAAAAGCCAGAAGGAGGCACCTCCAAGGCAGTACTGCAGAGCTGGGCACTGAACCTCTCCACCCTAGGGATGAGAAAAGAGGGCATTAGGCTCCCGCATTTCAGGGGGAACTGGAGGGAAAAGGTGATGATGAAGCGATGGACAGCGCAACGTCCATGGTAGCTAACGTGATGATAAATTCATTTATTCTCACACCATAATTCCACATCATATGGAGACATTAAAAAATAATTCCTCTGAAAAACCTCAACTGAAATTCCAGGTGTGATTCTTTTGACTTTGCCAGCAATTTCTCAAGTAAGCTCTAACAGCAAGGCAGACAATATTTTTATACTTTCACTAGATCTGTGGAGTATCTTTCTGTGCATAGTGCAAGCTCTCTTTACTCTCTTCCTTTCTCTTCTTCTCACACATGATACTTCACTGGAATATCAGCATGGATAGAAGTTAATTTCCTTCCTAAGAACCACTGGTGGCTCAATGTGCTCACCTCTTACAAAAAAGAGCTCCCAAGTGTATAGAAGAGAAAACTGAAGAGAGACAATCACAGCTGCCATGGAGAATAAAATTCATGGTCTGCAACAGAGCTTTCACATGATTCTCAACTGCACATTATGAGAAGAAAGAATAAAAAAAGACAAATATTTATGTGCTTCTCACCCTCTGGGAGCCTGACTCCCAGTCTGACTGACAAATCCTCAGAAATGCATCTCAAGAGCTTAGTGAACCCCTAAGACCAGTTCTCCTGCCTTCCTGCATAACATGAGCCACAGAATTTCACCCAGGCATTGCTGTCTCCATACAGAACGTGGTCTGACTAACAAAATTCAGCATTTCTGACTGGATAACTGCCAGCCCCCACCTTGAAAGTGTAATCAGATTGGATTACCTACCAACAGCCAGAACATTAGCCAGGAAAAATCCTGCTAAGCAATGCTTACCATTTTAGATTTGTATTTCTGGAGTTTTTTCATCTCTTATTGAGCTCTTGAGAACAAGTAAGACATGAGCATTATCTTCTGCATCTTTTCCCACTATGCAACAAGAAAAAAAAAAGTATTAGCAACACTCTAATGAACTGGTACAAAACAGAAGATTCATACATGATTGTCTATGCTCAAAACATGAGGCAGTGAAATACAAAGACAAAAGAGACATCAAGTCAGTATTATCATTGGATTAAAAAAAAAAAAACAAAAAAACCAAGCAAACCCTTCAAACCTGTTTGTTAAGCAATGCTGTTTTGGAATACTCTCCTTGCTGTTCTAATTGCTTCCCCACTGGGAGGAAGGTGGAATGCATGTGTTGATTAGACTAAAATTTCCTTCTAGAAGGGCTGTTTGACTTCCAAGTAACACTGAAACACAAAAAGCCTCTCTTGATTTACATACAAACTACTCTGATGAGCAAACTTCTCCCCCTGGCAATAGCTGAACAAGGCAGGCTGTGACTGAAGCTCCTCAGCTTCCTGCTCCTTCCCCTGCTCACACACTTCACATTCTGCAGGGAATGTGGGAATGGCTACTCACCATCCAGTTGGGCAGAAAATTCAGTAACTTTTAAGTATTCAAATGTCCAGTCTCAGCTTCTTAACATTTTGCTTCAGCAAAGTACTTCACTGTTGATGACAGTGAGGGGAACTGGCAGTGTTTGTTATCTGCCTTCTTTTAGTTATTCTGTGAAGTTAAAAAAGGAAAAATGTTTATTGGTTCATAGTCAGTTTCCATCTAAAAACTGAATGTGATTGCATTTTGGTTTTACTTGGGATAGATCTCTGACAGAAGATGCATCGTTGTTTTTAATTAATCCATTCAGGGACCCTAACTCTGCACAGAAGCTCACACTTTTAATGTAATTACTTCTAAAGGCTTTTTTCAGCACAGCATGGCTGTCTCTTCAGATTACTTATTATGTTTCTTTCCCTCTTTAGTCTTTGTTGGTGTACCCTCAGCTTTAAGTAGTGAATTCCACAGGCAAGGCCGCCTGTTCCCTGGGAACCCCCTCTGCAGAGGGAACTCAGCAGCTTCCCTCCCTCCTCAGAGTGGGTCTGTCCAGCCCAGAAAGGGCTGCCAGCTCGGGGCACAGGCACAGAGCCTCTCCATCCTTCCTCCTCTTGCTGAAGCTCTGTGTTTGCAGGCACCAGAGGCAAAGCTCTGTCAAGAGCATTCCCTCAACACCACAAGTGTAAAAAGAACCAGCACAACTCTCTGGTGCATCAGCTGCTACACTCACCCAGGAACCATTCTGTTCAATATTTAATCCTGAGCTTCCTTTAGCAGCTTGCTCAATTATGGGATGAAAGAAAGAAAGAGAAAAAAAGGGAAGGGGAAAAAAAGAGATACAATTAGCCCAGAGTTTCCATTACCACCCTTGAGAAATCAAAGCTCTTTATTTTCTCCCACTCATTCCACTCATGTTTAGCACTCCTGTGTCAAATACAGCAGATTCAAAAGGAGTGATGAGAAATACTTTCCCTCAAGTAGCCCAACAATTCGAGTGCTGTTGTGAATGGAAGGAGCTCTCTTGGCCTTAGCTAGGCTACACACAAGAACTAAAGCAACACACTCAGCGAGGCAGGAAAAAAGCCTCCCTCATTCCCTGCAGACGGTGACAAAAAAGGTACAAGGAAAGGGCTCAGCTCCGCACTCCAGGAAAGGCTGTTGGTGCCACGAAGGGGAGGGGACACATCTGTGCTGCTCTCAGGAGACAGTGACACTGCCAGCCCTTCCCTTTCTGCAGGGAAGGCTCTTGCACAGGTCAGTGACTCAGCTGTTAGGGGTGAGTGGTGCCACCGAGCTGTTTGTCACCCACAGGCTGGATCAGCCCTGGAGCTGGGAATGGAGCACCTGGGCAGGGACACACGGGCACGGCTCCCTCTGAGCGCCGTGCAAAGGAGCAGCTCCATGGCTCAGTGCCCATCACCCGCTGGGCAGACACAGGAACCCCTGCCAGGGTGAATCCCTCTCTGCCTGCTGAACACGCACAGGGAGCTGCTCCTGGAGCAGCTTTTGCTGCTCATCTCCATCTTTTGCCACAGAAGCCATGGCTGCCAGAGTGAATGGGCTCTAGTTAGCGCAGATCACATCCCACAACCCTTCCCAGCTCCTTCTGGGCTGGCATGCCCCATTAGTCTCCCAATGTCACAGAAAGGGATGTAAACCAACACTGAGGAGAGCAGGGATGAACAGGCAGGGAAGCACACAGCTGCCAGGGCAGCCACTGCCACCATGGCACACACACCCACTGTGCGTCTCCACTGGGCCTCGCCTAACAGTGGCTGGGAGTTGCACGGACTCCATCCCATTTGGGATGGGAGCTGGAGATGCCAACTGAGCTGCCCTGCCCACTGTGGACAGCTCTGAAGCCACTGACACCCACAGGACCTTGAGGCCTCAGCTCCAAGGGCACCAGTGCAGCCTCTGCACCACCAGGCTCAGATGGAATTTCTCATGCTGGGACAAACCAGCCTCAAAGCTCCTCCATTTCCTGGTCGCTCTTTGTACCTCTGCCGTGTCCTCCTTGGCCCTGGATGCCCTCTCAGGGATGTCTGCGCCTTCTGCCTGATCCTGCTGGGGCTGCTTCAACTCTGGCTCGACAGGAAAGCCCCACGGCCACAGAAACTCTGCAGTTCAGGCCCTGCCTGAACCTCTCCTCCCTGCAGCCCAGCAGCGCTGCCCCAGCCCAGCCCCGCGTGGCTCTGGGCTCTCCCTCCACGGGTGGCAGCCCTGGAGTCTGCAGGGGCAGCTGCCGATTCCAGGCTGTTCCTGCTGGATCAGGACTGCCATGTGCTTCCCTGCTGTGCTGGCACTTCTGCTGTCACAGAGCTCTGCTGCTCTGCCTCGCTCCCCACAAATCCCCACTGCTGGCTACACCATCAGCTTAGCCCAGTGCTTTCTTCCAGCTCTTCAATATTTAAAAAAAGCTTCTGCAGAGAACAGAAAAATGTAAAGCAATATTACAAAAGCAGGCTTGTAGCAATATTTACAGATTTACAGAGTTAAAGGCTGTTGTGCCTCTGGGTTAAAATCCAGGGAGCACTTACTGTTTGGGCTGCTGTGTTCCCACTGACCCATCCAAACCCTGCCAGCAGGGATAGAAGGGAACAGCCCAAGGGGTGGTAAAAGCTCATTGCAGTGGGTGAAGGGGCAGCTGCTGGGCAACCCAGGTGCCATCACCTCCCACCACCATCCTGCCCCAGCCACAGCAGGAGCACTCCCACTTATTTGATTTCCAGGCACCAGGCTTGCAGTTGTTAGCTGCTGCCACAAACTGATTAGACATGGAGCAGCTCCAAAAGTACCAGTCTGGGGTGACAATTTTCTGTCCATGTGAAACCTGACATCTTGGGGAATATATGGTGCCTGGACACATGCAGGCATTTCATAGCTTTTGGATATTAGCACCAACAATTATTTCTGCTTCACTTACACTTTTTGCAGGTTTTAAATATTTAGAGGTCAGCTTGTTCAACTATTTATTTTACTTGATTTTTGATATTTGCTTTTTAACTGTCACACCTTCTTTGTCGCTGCTTCAACAGTCTGAGCCCTCACATTTCTAATTTACTGAGAATCTATAAAGGGGCTTGGTGCTGGTTCTGATACACAGATTCACTCACCCCATAGTAATTTTCTCACCTTCAAGTCCCATTGACATGCCCTGGTTACAGTGTTCTCCTCAACAACTGCTCAGGTAGCCTGACTCTGGTTTTCTAGAACAAAACCCCAAACAACCACACCTAAAACCTAATTATTTTTGCACATTTTTTCACACCAAAGGGACTTTGGGTGTACAGAATTGGTGGCACGTGGCTCCTGAGCTCCCTTTCCATTTTAGGCATGCTGCATTTCTGCTTATTTCCTAGTAAAGCGTGCACTAGTAGCTGATTTCCTGGCTGCAACCCAACACTTGCACTGATCTGTGCTATATTGCAGTCTGAGAGAAGTCAGCATTTCAGCCCCACCCCTCTTACACCCTCCTGGTACTGAAATATGGAGGGGAGAGGCTCCAACCTCGAGGGCTGGCCGCTCTCCTGCAGGTGCATAAATCAGCTCCCAGCACTGGGGCTCTGTGCCAGCAGGACCCTGGGATTTATGGGCTGCAGACACAGCTCAGGTGCAGGGCCAGGCTGAGAGCAGAGGCAGCTGTGCCCAGACACAGCAGTGCTGCAGGATGGAGCTGTGCAGACACAGCAGTGCTGCAGGATGGAGCTGTGCAGACACAGCAGTGCTGCAGGATGGAGCTGTCACAGCAGTGCTGCAGAACGGAGCTGCTGCAGCAGGAGGCCTTGGGCACTCAGGGACTGCAGCCCAGCTTTTAGTCAGGTGCCAGAGCACTGACTGAGAGCTGCTCACTTTGGCCAGTGCTGTCTTTGTTGCAGCTCCTTGGCCACCACCATCACCCACACAGCAGCTGCCCCTCACACACCTCCCCAAATTGCTGCTGGGCTCGAAAGCAGCAGAGGGCAGAGGCTCTCACAAACAGCTTTTGATTAAAATAGAAAATGACATCAACTTACATGAGAATATATTTCAGTGCTTGTTTGATATTTTGTTTTTACTCTAATAAAAAGGCAATCATAATCTCTCACAGATTGTTGCTCCCCCAAAAAAAGCAAATCACAATATGCACTGACTGCAAATGCCACATTTAAATATTCAGCACAGCCGTACTTGTGGAGAGCTGAGAGAAAATTCCCCTGCTCTCTCTTCCTCCTCATTCAGCAAATCAGGCAGAGGATTTTGAACATAAATTCAGAAAGTATTTTCATAAACAGAATATTTCAGCAGTTAAGACTGAGTTTTTAAGAAATTCTGTCTCTCCATACATTCTCTTCCTATGCCTTGGTGGAAATAAATGAAAATCTTAAGATGCTGCAATAATCTCTAGGAGACAAAACAGATGGAAAAAACAAAGGAATAAAGTATCTTATGACTAAAATTTTGGTAACACAAACCCAATGCTTCTGTTCTTTACCTAAATGTTTAGACTTGCAGCAGGCAAAAGCAAAATTTTTTTTTTTTTTGTTTTAAATATGTGGCATGTTTTATATAGAGCACACTTTTCATATTAAGAAAAGAAAAAATTACACAAGAAAAGTGACTCAAATAAAAGAAAATAAAGGAATATTATTCACTGGGTTTTGCCAAGAACCCCCAGAAAGAAAGCAGGCCTTACATACCTGTGCAGACATGGCAGTGCCCCAAGGCTGCAGTCACAGAGCCCCAGCCTCACCCAGTGTCCTGAAGGGCTCCTGGGGGAGGGCAGTCCCCAAGGGCTGCCACCATGGCCGGGGCTGCCACCATGGGCTGTCCCCAGGGCTGCCACCATGGCCGGGGCTGCCACCATGGGCTGTCCCCAGGGCTGCCACCATGGCCAGTGCTGGGCTGCTCGAAAGGAGCCTGGAGCAGCACCAGTTTTTATTCCTTTTGCTACCTTGTCTCCCCATTACACAGCTTACCTGTGTTCTCTTACCCAGTGGCCCTGGTTTTGCCATCCTGATTCCCCCTTTTTGGTATTTATTGGACATTTTCTCCATCACCTGCCACAGCAGCTGCCTGAGCCCTCATTTTTTATTTACAAGATTCCTCCACTTCTCACACTGTTATTTTGTGAGGCCACTTGTGAGGGTTGGCCTGGACAGCTTGGACATGACTTGCTCTTTGATTTCTGGGTGGTTCCTGCAGCTCCCTGTGTCTCCACTCTGTTTGTGCCACTTGGTGGCCACGTGCCTGGCACTGTTTGGGTCTCAGCAGCCTCTCCCGCTGCTGTCCCCAAGCTCACAGCCAGGGCAGGTCGGGGGTGTGCCTCTAATGGGTACCAGGAACTTGCACTGAGATGGATCCACTTGCTAAAGGAAATAAGACTAAAAAATAGCAAAGTACCTACCCTAGGATCCCTGTGTGACCTCAGACCTACAGACTGAAATTCCTGCAGGATGTTTAAAGAGATGCAGCCAATACCTTGAAAGAAATGCATTTTAGGGAACCTGTTTTGACTAAGAAGTGGAAAAAAAAGAAATCAGAATTAGGGCCATGAAAGTCCATACTGATATATAAGTAAAAATGTGTGCATGTTTGCATGTAAAATCATGCAGCTTAAAAGCACACACAGCTTTGGGGATCTTTGGTTTTAATCTGTTCCAAGTTATGATCGTCAAATTGAGTTTTCCATAATTGGTTTTAGCTGAGCTACAATGCATTGAATTTAGAAACCTTAAATCTTCTTCATCTTATGTTGTTTTTTGGAAATGAATATCATAATACATTTCATTTCATACTGGTAACAAGTGCAAGACTTGAGCTAAATATTTGCTGTTAGAAAAACGTAATGCTTTTCTTTTTGAAGCCCAGCAGCTACAACATGGTCTGTAAATGTTTGTCCTTTCTACTTCAGTACTAATAACCATGTTTTTATGACCTCATCCAAGAAACCCACAAGAAGCTGGCTGTTCTTTTTCTATCGTGTTTGTGCCCTTTACATCATTTCCTACCTCTAATAACTAATGATGATAGGTAATTACTTAACAGATGGCAAAAGCTCTTGAACTGCTTTTAAGGACTACTGAGCTCTGCTGCATTTTGGGAGCATTAACTTCTGTCACTTTCCATCTTCCTCGGGTCATTCCAGGTTTGTTCAGCCATCATTAAGTATTCAAGGGCCTGAGAGTTTTGTGGTTTTTGAATTCAGAACTGGGGGTTAGTAACATGCTCCTTCACAGCATTGTTATTTCAAATTCTTCTCTTTTGTGAGGCCACTCTTAACCCTGAGAAACCAGGAGCCCTCTCTTCCCCCCGCGGGATGAGCACAGCAGCCCAGGCAGCCCAGGGCGCCTGACCTTCAGCTCCCACAGATGCAGATTCTCTCTCCTGCAGCCAAAACTGCCACATCATTAACAGGAGGCTGGGGAAAAGTCAAACCTTAAAACTTAGAGGGGTTGGTCTCATTCATGTCCTTAGGCTGCATTTACATTTTGTCCCGAGTTTCACAGGAGAAATTCCACAGCAGAGAGGGCAGAAGTGAGGGATGGAGTTCACAGCTGAACACACACAAGAGTGAGTGACCCCCTCCACACTTCCCCTGCACTTTGAGTAAGTTGCACTTGAACCACAATAAGTGCTGGCCTAATTACTCAAGCTCCACTGTACAGCACCAGCAACTCTGCTGCTGCTTTTCCAGTTCTAGCAGCTGTTTGTCTGGCTCTGGTGGAAACGCTTATGAGGAGCTGTGGCTCAAGACACAAAATTGACTCAAAAAAATTTACCGTGGCACAAATTAGCAAACACTATGTCTAGAAAAAAATAAGGCATTTTTATGATTGTTGCTAAATAAACTCTTGAATTTTGCATGAGACTGTTAAGTTGGAAATAATACACAAATAAAGTCAGTGTGATTTCTTCAGCTTTAGGATCAAACAGCCCTCCTGGTATACAGCTGTAGTTACAAGTGATTAGGTTGTACATTTCTCATCTGATGCAAAGAGCTGCACACAGATCACTGGACACATCACAGATGAGCTCTGGTTAAGTGTGCCCAGAAGTGTGATTCACTGCTAAAAATAAATGTTCATAACTGATTTGGTAGTTAAAATGAAATGGGTAGGTAATACAACAAATGGATTCTAAAGCAGAGGTTGTGAAACCTCTGTTTGAAGTGACTATTGTAAATGCCCTCTCTGTTTCTCACCCTCCCGTGTCAGTGTGAGCTCACACTGCTGCACTGCCCATCCCTGAGTGGCACTGCCACCTCCTGGGTGCTGGTCAGTGACCACTGCTGAACAAACAGCTCTGAGCTCAAGTGACACACTTGTTCCACAGCTCAGAGAAGCACATCAGGACTTGCTGATTTTCCTTGGCACAGCTCTGCAGTGCCTGAGCACAGGCATCAGCCTCCCATTGGTGTGCACCGAACCCCAGTGCCTCCTGCAACTCTGCAGTTTTAGTTGGGATTGAGAGGAAAATGATCCTGATTTGCCCAGTGAGAACCCAAACGTGCCCTCAACTTGCACTTGGTTCAATAATCTCCAGCACATGTAGCAAACTGCTGTTTGGAGGGGATTATGTTCACACACAGAGTGACACCTATAATCATCACCATACAAAAATGGACCCCCTAGGTATTCATTCTTGATATACTAAACACTTCCCTTGCAATTCCATTGGCATCTGACATCACTGTTCCACAAATTTAGAGTGTTGCTGAGTTGTTTTGTACCGTGGTTCCTTATGGTTTAGCAAGTCTAGGCAGGTACAGCTGATTGTATGAGCCATTTACATTTTCTGCTTTTCTACAAGATAACAGATACTACCTAAAAACTTTTAAAACAGCACTATCTTTGCACAGCTTAAGAAATTGTTATGAATAAGCAAAATCCTTGGTTATGTTACACTCTAAATTAGCCTGGGCTTTACAAGAGTTTGCAACAGATAAGGGAAAAGAGTGAACAAAATTGACAACAAACCAAACACAAGTCTGAGAAGGTTCAATGTGAGAGGAAGCTCCAAAAGTGTCCATGCCTGAAATGCAAGGGAGAGAACTTGTGCCCCAAAAATTCTTCCAAGTCACATTTTTTCTTTTTAAATTAATCTCAGAAATAATTATTTTTGTATTTTACATATGCTGGCGAATCAGGCAAAATCATATTATGAAACTGCGTAAACAGGAGTTAGATGTAATGTACATTATTCACTCTTGCAGCCTGAGAAAAGAAATGTAGTCCGTCTTACATATCAGATTTTTAAAACAGAAGACAGATCCTTTCCCTGCCTGAAAAAATGTACAAGGGGTGTTGTGTGGAAACAGAGTTCTCGTGCTCCTTGTGCCCTCCAAAGTGCACTAAAAGCCAGCACTTGGCAGGAGGCTCCTGAAGCTGACAGGACCCAACCCAGGAGTGGTCAATCACCTCAGTTCCAGGCTGTGATTCCCAGTCCCAGCAGGAGCCCTGAGCTCATTCCCAGCAAAGCCCTGCTGCCATCATCCCCAGAGTGCCAGGCCACAGCACAGCCCTGCAGCATTCCAGCCTTGCCACCCTGGAGAAAAGCCAAACATAGGAAGGAGGGGAAACAAAGAAGCACCTCTGGTTTAATTAAGACTGAAAAGCCACAGGTTTCTGCTGATATTTGAACTTATCAAAATGTAAAATTATCATTTGGTAGGATTTTTAGATTTGCTGCAGTGTCACGGCTCTAGCAGAAAGCATGTACAGGAATGTGTTCTCAAGGTTCTTGGCTAATGGATTTCTGCATGTCTTTACCATATTTATTTGGATTGAAACAATAATATTAGAACTGCTTCCACAGCCTCTGGGAACTCCAGCACACAACTTGCACTACAGCAAAACTCTCTCACTACTAAAACAGGACCTCTGGCAATTTGTAGTCATAAAAAGTGTATTTTCAGAAGGCAAAATAAGCAAGGTGATGTTACCAAACATGACAGCAGGTCAGTCTGGGGACAGGACAAACACTGAGCTGGAGAAAGCATTAGTAAACAATCCATATTCCCATCACCTGTGCTGCTAAAATTGGTTAAAGCACTGCTGGAATTCACCTCTGAGCCAGAAGTCTAATTTACTCTAGAGAAGACAAGGGAGACACCAACACTTGACTGACAGAGCCCCCACCACATGTTCCAGGACCCTCTCCCCACACCAGGCTTGAAGCGGACTTGGATTTGCTGTCTCCTTTCCAGGACTCCTGGGAAGGGAGAGCAGGGGAGATCTCACCTTACAAAGAGCTGGCTGCACTCCACATCTCTGGGCTCAGGGGCCTCTGGAGTTTGCTGGTGCAGAAGTAGCCAGGGAGAGCTGGGACAGGTCCTGGGGGCCATTTCATCCTGAGAAGGGAGGTGGAGATCGAGTCAGGATTCAGGTGGTTTAACAGAAATGAGAGTACAAGGATGGCTCTTTTTCATCCTCTGGTTGGAGCCAAATAATGCAGCAAGTGGATCAGGCCAAACTCAATATACCCCGTTAAGGTTTTTGTCCTAATGACCACTCAGGAGCGAGTGTAAGGAAATACTTAAATAGTGCTGCTGCGGAAAGGCATCTGAGAAAAATATTAAGCACTGCTCCCAAAGTACAGTGAAAGTCTGCAAATCCAAATGAGTTTGATAGAAGACTGCAAGACTGAAATAAACTTTACAGCATTTATTCTTCATCCCAATAATCCTCACCAAACAGCCTGTCAAGCTTCTGCAGATTGGGAGGTTAAGGAGAAGAATAAAATGTGGTAGTAATAATATCTGTTTCTTATACATTTTTATACTCTTTTTAATTATTTTTTTTTAAATTGACTCCACTCTAGTGGAAGGAAAAATAATTAGGAAAAGGAAAAAATCAGCTTAGGTAAATGAAGACCTGATGGTTAGGCAGCAGCTGGGATTCTGATGGTCTGGTGCACAAACCTACACAGTGCCTTCAGGAGCTCCACAGAGGAGCCACCATCTGTAGTTGTGGAGCTCAAGGAATAGCAGGATGGGAAATAAAGGATGGGAAGCAAAGAGAACTCATGGTGTTAGGAGTTTACCCCCTTTCCTTTCTCTGTTTAATTTTCTAGGAAAGAAAATTTAAAAAGAAAAGATTGGAACAGATTGTCATTTATTCTGGCTGGGATTTTTCACAGCTAAAAGGAAATGTTTATAAAATGTACAACTTTATTGTTGCTGTGTCTGCACCAGCACCACAGTCATCTCACTGAACTGCAAACAAGTGCATTTACATTTAAAGAAGCCATCTTTCTTATCCTGCTGGTGTGAAATAACAAGCATTTTGGAATAAAATGGCAGTGTTTTATTTCTGAGCACCTGTGTGTAACTTTACATCCCTAACTCTTAGTCTGTACAATTAACACTGTCCATCTGATGAAAAGGAAACTCTGATTTTACTGGCAATAACAAATAAATTTAGATCAGGATAGCACAATATACATCTTTGAGAAAGGTCCCAACTATGGATGAGAATTTCTTATTATAGGAAAAGGTTTCTAAAACCTTATTACTGAAAAGAACAGTTATCTTGAAAAAAAGGATCAGACAATTTTCTTTAAAGCTCAGCCATTATGAAGTGTGTTTGGGGTTTTTTTTAATCCTTGGAAATCCACAGTCTCCTCTAGCAGCTTGCAGCTTTTTTCTCTTTATATTAAGTAAGGACAGATTTTCTTACTTACATAAAAAGCCAGTGGAAAGAAAATCCTGCTTAATTCTTCACAGCAGATCTCTGAGCACAGACTTGCACAGAGCAACCCTACATTGCTCTGAAAAATAGGAATGGAGTTCTGGGTGCAGCTTACAGACTTGGGCTCTGCTCTAGAGAGGTACCTTAAGCAGATAAAGATGAATTTTATTAAGCTAAATCCTTTGACTTCTGCCCTTGGACTTTGGAACAGGTTGAATGTGATTTCAGGAAAGATCAGATCCGAGCTTTGGACTTTCAAAGAACTGAGAAAAACACACCTGCCCATTTCAAACCTCTCTTTTTGGCCTGGGAATGCAAACCATGGCCTGTGCCACCTTGTGAGCAGAGGAAGGGGCACAAGGACACACCTCTGGAAACAGCTGGAGAAATTTCAGGCTTCTGTGCTGCTGAAAATAGCAATACTATTTGCCCAGTGGGTGCTTCATTTTCTTTGGGCAATGCTGTTGTTCTTTAGCTGCCTCTGGCATCTGATTCAGGAAAAGCAACTGCTGTGTGGCTGAGAGGCGTTTGAGGGAAATCATGGATGGTGATTTGGGGAAAATGATGGATAACATTCTTCACCCATCTACTTAAGGTGGTTTTTTGTCATTAAACATCTATCTCAGGCAAACTGAGTGCACTGTGTAATCTTGCAGCTATGCAAGTAAAATTCCCTTTTGGACCAAAACCACATCTCTAAGTTGCCTGCAGAGGCATGAAGCCATCTGGATTGCTGGCTTTATCTTGGGGAAGACAGAGGGACCAGGAGGAGGAGTGCAGAATCACTGTAGAGACAGCTGCAGTCTGGCTTTCCTGGAGGCTGGGGGAAAAGAGCACAGGATCTTGAGCCTCCTTCCTGCAGGGAAGTGCTGTCTGTGCTGCCTCCTGTAGACCTTACAGTAAACCCAGCCAAATTTCAAGGATTTGAATTTCAAGGATTCTGTTGGGTAACACCAACCAGACCCACCAGCAGAGATCAGTTCCTCACCTTCTTGCCTCTGTCCCTTGGTGGTGCCTTTCCTAGACTTGCATCACCCTGGGATTTTGGGAAGCTGCAGCTATCCTGTGGCTCTGGGTGGGGGCAGGCTGTAACCCAGTGGGCTCTGGCAATGCTTCCTGCTTCCAGAGCCCGAATGAGTAACACCAACGCGTTTTTAGCTGACCACTGGAGGAGGACACAGCAGCAAGGCAGCCATTCCTGAATAGCACACAGAAATAATGACCCTGACACGTTTCTAGCCAGGGAAAGTGCACTTGAAATCTCATGGGAAAATGGGTTCTCTGGGGCTGCAACACCCTTCTGCTAATTCAAGGCTCACAGCACTTAGATTATACCGAGTGAGAGCTTCCAGCATTTGCCATCCTCTGAACTCAGCCAGAGAAATGACAATACTGGCTTGCCCATTAGCAGGCTGGGCATTTCCCCTCACTGCTCACAGATCTGTGTCACAAAAATAGATCAGTTCTGAGTGTTTCTCACTGGAGCATCACATAAACACTTGCAGAAGGGGAGAAGCAGGAAAACTTTGAATTATAAGTAAAATAATTTGAATAATCACAGTCAAGATTTTAAAAACTATGCTTGCATATAAGCACAAAGTATTTCCATAGACCCAGGAACTCAGATGATAAAGTGCTCAGAAATGTTCTGCCAGAGGGCTCTGTTTTCCCCTTCAAGAAGTTTTGATAGATCAGCAGCCACATGCCTTAATTTACTGGCTTATGCTAATTTCAGTGACATTTTGCTTCCGATGAGAAAAATCTAAGTGATCTAAAAATCTATGTGATGTTTCAAAATGAGTTTTCACTTCAAATGTATAATACACACAAACAGATTTTGGTTTTGTCAAAACTTCTCCAGCAATACAAAAACAACAGGAAAATAAGAAGGAGCCATGAAAGGAGAAGAATAAATTGCCACTAAAGGAGGCTGGGGCTTGGGGCCATGGAAAACCTTCCCTGTTGTTAGACACTGACCTCCTCCACTGGCCAGGCAGCATCATTGCTGTTGGTCAGCATGTGGGGATCAGATGTGCACTTCTTGATTCTGCCTCACTGAAAGGGAACTGAAGGATTAAATGATCCCTTAAATAACTTCCAAGTACAAATTTCTTTAGTTTAACACTTTCTATAAGAAATAACCAAACTTTTGAGTTTCTGATTTCACAGACCAGCTCTTTGAACCTACTCCATTCAAACAATGGTGATTACAGAGTATTCTGAAATGTTATTTCCATATGAGCTGGAGATATTAAAATAGACATGATCAAATTAAATTATGCTGTATTTACAAGACTGCAGTAAAATTATTTGCACTGGCCTTAGGAAAACTTCTGGGGAAACCCCCCAGCCAAGCAGGGATGCAGGACTCCCAGACTCTAAATTGTAGTGCAGGTTTTGATAGTCTGTAGGTGAATATCACTGCCAGGTCATCAGGAGCAAGTCTCCAACCAGGTTCTAATGAAAGATTCATAAACTTGATACGATCCTGGCTTCTGATCCCAGTTTTGAACCCATGGAGTCTTTCAATGTATGGCTTCAAGCAAACTTGGTGCTGCTCTAAGCAACTTTGGATATCAATACTTTTGAGAATGAAAAAGGGAAATTGTCCTTTGACCCTGATTTATGAAATAACTTGCACTCATTTTAACCCAGAAAGAGGGCATTCATTTTTGTCTTTTGGAAAAAGCCAATTATGACATCTTTCCAGGGATGCTCTTTCCAAGGAGATTCAGCTACTGCCATCTATTGATGCATACTGTGAAGGGTCACTGTCAAAGTGCACATCTTCCCTGCACCTTTTCTAAGAGAAATGCAGAATATCAGGGGTGAGAAAAGGACACTGAAAGAATGTTTCTCCTTCCCAGCAGGGAAAAGCAGGGATTTGGAACAGGAAGAAAATACCAGGAGGAGTTTGAGGGTGGGGTAAAGGCACACACAGGTTTTATTTTACAGGTAAAGTCTCCAACAAGAAGGGCAATATCCACATGTATGGGGTGATCTGTCACTGACTGACTTCTCTGAAAACCAGTCTGAGATGTGCAGCTGTGTTTTCCTCATCAGCTCATATTTAGATGAGTTGGTCAATGTTCAGTTCTTTGACATCAGCCCAACCTCACTGGACATGCAAATCATCCCAGCCTTTGGACAAGAACCGATTTCCAACCATCTGTGGAAGGAAGGCACTGACCTGAACTAATTAACTGAAGTGAAGCCAGTTGTTTTACAGGATGAGACCAAAGCAGGAGAGGCACTGACTCGGAATAAGAAGTGAGCTGTGACCTCCAGCAAAGCCCTGCCTACGTGCCAGGGAGCAAACTGTGAGCTGAGGAAAGCAGCTTGGGCAGAGGGAGCCCATGGGAGTGGAGGAGAAAACAGGGAAGCAGCCAAGGTGGAATTTAGTCATTTCCTGTTGTGTATCCCAGCAAAATACTGCCATCCCTCAATCCTTATTTTGCTGTTCCTTGTGCTGAACAGCAAACAGCCTTTATCTCCTCCAGCCTGAGTCCTAGGGTCTGACAGCTGTATAACAGACCTAAGGGCTTTTCCAATGCTATGGCTTTCCCCTTCTCAAATAAACAACTTCCATTAACATTTCTTCTCTCACTGCCTCTTTTACATTTGATCTTACAAAAATAAGAATTAATCCCTTCTGAAAATGAACTTACCTTGCCTAAACAGAAATCTGCTTTACTAATTTGTTTTCAGCTGAAATACAAAATATCCACTGCGCACTTCCTGCACTATGTCAGCATCTTGCTAATTACTTAAACAACACAGTTTGGGTTTTTTTTTTTTTGGAAATGACACATACTGGGGAGAGGCAGAGTCTGTCTTCAGTTACTAATTTCATTTATTAAAATTACCAATACTTTCTAACCCAATACTACAAAAAAAGTGCTCAGGGATAAATGTGGAAGTCTGTTGTCTTAGGATCCCCTAAACAAAATGCCATTAGAGCCATGCCAGGACTGACTAACACTTGAGAAGCAATTGTTTCACAACAAAATGAATTTCCACCTCACAACAACTATTTCACAGCTTTTTGTGTGCTGGTGCTAAGACGATGACCAAGGCTGCTGGCTGGGGATGTCGGGGCTGGAAGGTGACGAAGGCCTGAGGGCTCCCTGTGTCCCTGGACCAGCTCCTCAGAGCTCCTTGATCCCCTTGGCCATGGCCAGGCTCTCCTGCGAGAAGACCACTGCAGTGCAGGGAGGCACAGCCACGATGGACACTGAGAAAATGAAGGGAATTGGCACTGCCAAGCCAGTCAGCTGCTCTGTTAGAGAGTGCTGAAGGCATGGACATCCCACCTGATGGCAAGATGTTCCTCAGGGAATTACAACCATCTGTTGCCTACTAGGAATACACAAGTCATAGGCATTGCTACCCAGCTTTTTACCCTGGTTTTTATTTATACTATTGCAGTGCTTTGACACTGAGTCAACAGCTGAGTCACAGCTCCCCAAGCTCCTGGGTTTTTTTCTGTGAAATGTAAGAACAATAGGTCTTTTCCACTTGAAAACAGAGCTCCACACTTCTGGGGTGCCATTCCCATTCCAAGGACTGCAGGCTCACCACAGGCCCCTTCCTCCTCTCATTCCTACCCTGTTTCCCTTTCCAAACAGAAGTTACACTCCCTACTATTGTAACAGCCTGCACACAATCTGCTGAGAATAAATACCCATGTAATGAGCTGAAATGATATGGTAATTGCTTAATTCAAAATAATTACATGGCTATTTGGGCTCTCCAAAGTAAGGTATTACTTATTCAGCCCAAACAAATTGCTGTTTGCCCAGGTTTTGAACTCTGGTAAACAGCAGTGCAGCAGCCATCTGCATACTGAATCCTGAGACTATTTTGTGTTCGATGTTTACATACACAGAATTGGAAACAAATATTTGTCAAGGCAACAAACAGCTTTTAGCACAACCAAGGGGAAAAAAAACCAAACCAGAAGCCCTTGGAAACAGGAGTGAAAACACGGCCAAGTCAGAGTGCTACAAGGGCAGCAGCTGGCTCCAAGTCACCAAATGCCCTCCAAAACATCCCACAAGTTTGAAAATGTCAGATAAGGGCATGGGAATTGTTTAGTTTATCTTGGCTTGTCATTTGTGTCTGAGTTGAGTGCCAATCTCCCTGTGTCACCTGGAGATACAGATGGGAAAGCCACCACAGAAATGACGATGGAAGGAAGAAAGGGAAGGAAGAGTGAGGGCAGACAGACCTTCAAGCCCTTGATTTCAGCCAGCTCTCCTCGAGTCAATAAAACATCTTCCACGGCCTTTGGTGAGGGCTGAGCAGGCCTGGATTTCAGAGCAGCAATGAAAGATTTAAAAATCACCTTGTGAGCACTAGCAGAAGGCTCTCCATGAGTGTGAACAATGCAAGCTGGAGTCATGACTCTTGGCTTCTCAGAGGTAATTCCCTGCTCCCTGAGACTGCCAAAAGCACTGATAACCAAGGACTTGGAACTGGACTGGTGCTGCTTGGTGGAGGAAGGCAGAGCCCCTCAACAGCCAGGGTGGGATCGAGTACCCCACAGACCCCAATGAGGGAAGCACCAATGGACTGCATTGAGGGGCTCCTTTTCTGCTGAGAGGATGAAATATTTGGGCCTGGAATGGAAATTAAATCCACACTCGACTTTCTACTCCTCTATTACACACCTACACTTCAAACACACGACACTGAGTTTCATACCTGTATTTCTATTCCTGGAGTTGATGATTTAAAGAAGTGGACATACATGAAAGATCTGCATGCCATTTCCTACTTCCAGGGGGAAAAAAATCATAAAATCAACTGAAATCTGGTCTTTGCTGGTTAAGTACAACTTGGGTGAGAACTAAAATTCAGCAGCTGATGTTTCCACTTAAAAAAGCAGACAAAATGAAGTAGCAAGATGTTCAGAGGCTCTCAGATTACAACGAAATAATAGATACTGTTTTAACAAGGCTTTGCAACTTACAAGAGAGTGGTCCAAAGGGCATGAACAGAACGACTGTTTGGCTTCTAGAAGCATTTCACATCTGCTAGGAGTCATCTGATGTTCTAAACCTTCAAGAAAGCAGAAAACACATGATTTTTAACATAGATGCAAAAATACTAAAACTTCTCATTACTTCAGTGGTAGCGTTCATTTTTATGCATACTTTGAAATTTTTGTTTCAGCATTAAGTATCTCTTAATCCATTTATATATTATAGCTGGACTATTCCCGTACATTCACTTAGCGTTCTTGCTGCTGAAGAATCAGCATTATTCTCTCTGCTTCATTTGCTGATGCTGTTCAAGGAGTAATTTGGAACACTTGACCTTAAAAGTAATGGCAGCTTTCTATGGCATCAGTAGAGTTACCATTAAACTCCCCCAACACTGCTTTGCATTGTTTGGAAACAAGCTGCATGTAGGAGCACCACACAACACTATGTGCTCTGCTATTTATGCAATTTTTTTCCCAGAAACCACATTTTTTCTGTCATTATTTGCATTTCCCATGGCTCAGGAAGCAGATGGGTGCAGTGCAAGGCTGCCTCCCTGGAAGCAGTTTTCTGCTTGCTTGCTCTGGGGCTGTGTCAGAGGCTGCAGAGCCCTGCAGCCCTCCCCATGAGCGGAGCCCCCAAGCTGCTTTCTGCTCTTTGGCCAGGCCAGCTCCATCCAGCCTTGCTCTCTGCTGGGGCTGCCCTGCCCTTCTGACAGCAGCGCTGCTGAAGCTGCTCCTGACACTAAATCAGCTGCACATTTTCATGAGAACATTGTGAAGCTCTCCTCAGCTCTCTCTACGGATTCTTGAAAGCACCACAAGAGGAGAGAAACCCCAGCACAGGGTCCAACATCCAAAATTCTGGTACAAGCAGCAGGGCATGCAGGTGCTGTTGTTCATTTGGAGTGATGAGCTCCAGATTATTTTAAACACACCAGCTAAAACGCTGGCTTTTATTCTAATGTGTCATTAGATCCACTTGGATAAATTCATTTATCCATCTCAATGCTATTGCTTGTTTCAGCCTGCTTGGATTTAATTCAGGCCTGAGTTCTCTGCAATCATTTGTTCAAGTTTATGACATTACGCATTGTTGACTAATAGCTTCATTTTGCTGAGTTTCCAATTTATTACTGTCACTATCACAGCAGGATTTAAATTTTTGTAACTTGCCTATCCTAGCATGAATGTGACTTCACTGATGTTTGACACTGATCCTGAAGGCTCCTCTTTGACTGTCACCTAAAGACCAAATACTTCTGCTGCTGACTTTTAAAATCAATTATAATCTTGCAGGATTTGGCTCAGAGGATAACCCAAAGTGAAAGGCAGGGAGTCTTAAGAGAGAGTTTCCAAGTGCATTACATGAGATTGATTTTTCATGTGCAGAAAAAAGAGGTCTACTAAAGAGAAAAAAACAAATTCAAACTCCCCAAACCAACAAAAAATCTTCAACTCAGAGTCAAGTCTTTTCTATGATACTTGAAAAATATGCATAAATCTGTTTTTCAGTCATTAAAATTATAGAATCTGGTGTAAAAAATTAAATACCCATCAATAAATCCCTTTATTTGATACTATGAAAACATATAAAATATTTAAACTAGAATTTATGATTTTTTAAAGCAGTATTATTCCTCTCTCTGCTTTCCAAAATTCAGAGTTTCATGAACTGGATCTGAACTAAATCTCCAAGTTCAATAAAAACACTGAGGCAAAATGAAGTGCTGTGCTGGGTGATTTTCCATCAATAAATAACCAGATAAAAGCTTTCACTTTCAGAGTCATTCCCTGTCTCTATAAATGACAAATACAGATTAATGGAATCCTCAGAACAAAGAACAATACAGTATCTTAATGGAATGAGCAAATGTTTTCCTGAAAATATCATTTCATGCTATGAACCATAATTGTTCTTTAAATTCTCAGCAAGAGCATCCATTGGCCTGACACTCTGAATTAGGCAGAAAAACATGAATTTGAAAACTGTTGGGGGAATTATTGACATGTGGGTAAGCAGGAGGGCCACTCAAGCAGATTAAAAGTAACTCTATTCTGAAGGCAGACTTTACCAGCATCCTGAGTGACCCCATAAAACAGCCCTGCCCCGCAGATCTGGGCAGGATCTCGTGAGCGCTGCCTGAGCCATCCCTGGAGGCTCTGCCAAGGCAGGGCAGGACAGACTCTGAGGCCCTGGGCTGGGCAGGGGAGCAGCTGCACACACAGAACTGCCCAGGGACAGCGGGGCTGGCACAGAGGCCAGCTACAGAACTGCTCACCTGGGATCAGCTGTGGGAGCCAGGCTCCAGGGCTGCCCTTTCCCACTGCACAGAGCTCCAGGTGTCCTCTCCTCAGCCCTGCTGCTCCTCAGCCTCTCCTGCCCACGCTGGGAACCCCCTGCTGAAGAGAACAGAGCCATGGCAGGAGCCAGCCAGCCTTCCTGGGGGACAGGGGTGACCTTGCCAGGCGCATGCACTGACAGGGAATCCCATTGCTGAACTATTAACACACAGGCTTATCTAAAAATGGCATCTCAAAGGATCTTCCTAATGCCAAACTTTTCTTCAGAAAACTGAGTAGTGGGGTCTGCTTTAACCACACTGGAACCATTTATTACATTAAACAGGATAATATATTTTGTTTTAAAAACAATGATTGCCAACTGCTTTTTCTTTGAATATTTCCATCTGGGAATTCAGATGTTTTTAGCACAAAACTTCAACTTGCTGCAGAGCTGTGCATGCCATTACCTAGTTACATACATCCCAGTTATTCATCCTGGGAGAGGTGTTTCCCAGCCCCACGAGAAAATTGGAGGCCAGGCAATACTGGTGATAGGAAGGCTCATGACTGGAAAAGAAGGAACCAGTTCCCTTACAGGAGTGCAGTGCTTAAGTGCAATCAAAATGTCATCACAAAATATGTCAAAATATATCTCTAGATCAATGTTCTTTGAAATCTCCATTTGCCAAAGGCAGATGCTAAAATTTTTGTCTCTCTGGCAATAAAAATAAGCATTGAAATATCCAAGGGGAGGAAAATGTGCAATTTTCCCTCATCTGCTTGTGTCTATTCCCCATTTCAGGACACAACCAAAGTAATGGAGGTCCTTAGCAGTGAGGCTAAGGGTAAAATGGTTAAAAACTCATAATTTGAGCTCTACAGGAAAAGTTAGCATGACAGACCTCAATCTGGAGAACCCTATCAGTGCAATGGAAGCTTTACCTGGGGTAGAAGCTTTGTAATTGAACTCTAAATACAGATAAACAGATGTATAATGCAACTGTTCATGCACATACCAGACACTAAAAGCCAAATCACAAAGATGCTCTGTCGTCAGAGCTCAGCATTCATTTACTTTCCAATTCCAGCCAATTTGTTATCACAAAGGCTCTCAATTAAGATGTTTTATTTGATACAGGGGGAATTAAAACAATCTTTTTATTCTGATGATAGAGATGCACTTAGCAGGATATAAAATAGTGATTTAATGGCCACTTAATGGTCTGAAGCTTTAAATGAACAAACATAAATTAAGGCTTTTGTAGCCTTTTATGCTTTCCCATTTGGATCCTAAAACCACCATTTGCATTCATCATGTAGGTCAGAGACAGAACACCTTGCTCCCCAGTGACATTCAGCTGCATTCCAGTGTTTGTCACAGGAGTGAGCTTGGCACTGCTGCCTTTGGAAGAGCTTCTGGTTTCAGGTCTGGGACACAGCCTCTCCTTGGACAGAACGAGCTCACACTTCTCCAGGTGACTGAGTCTGCCTCAACAGCCAGACTGCACCACACTGAATCCATTTCTGTGTCTGCAGCTCACTGCCTCATTTCAGAGCAGGCAGGGGGATGAAACCCCCTAGGAAAACTGAGCACAGAGCCTGGGTAAGTAAATGGTAAGATTGCAGTGAGGCTGTATGAAAGAAATTCCTTCCAAAAGTCCTGGGAAACACTTGAATCAGATCCATGAGTCAGTCTCCCTTTCTTCTGAGTCACTGTTGATTACAACACATCAGTAATTTACCAGTTAGAGAAAAAAACATTAAAAATAACACACACTCACACATATATTTATGCATTTAAAGATTCATCTTGGGTTAAAAATATAATTTTTTGATTAAACTATTTTGAGTGGAAAAAAAATCTGAAATATAAATACTCAAAGCTAAGAAAAGAGAAAATCCCTATGTGTTTCCTCTCTGAATATAGTCTAAACTTCTAAACAGAATTTCTCATATTTTTCTTTCAAAATACGTAATTCAGTGCACTCTGCAAGCAGAAAGTTTTAAATACTGTTTACAAAAGGAAAAATGACTGTTGTAACAATCTGATCCCGTTCCCTGGGGCTTTTCCCCTCTTTGGGCATTCTGTGCCCATGCCTCTCCCTTGAGGAACCTGCCAGGAGGCCGTGTCCAGCCCCAGCGGTGCCCAGCGGGCTCTGTCTGGCTGTGATCCCATCCCTGGGGGTTTGCAGTGCCCTGTGCTGCACGGGCAGGGCTCCCCCTGCTCTCCCAGGCTCTGGCACCTCCAGGGCTCTGCCTCCTGTGCAGTGGCTCCCATCAGGAGCTGCCTTTGCAATCATTCTCCTCTGACCAGTTACTCTGGGAGCACCGCTGTGCCCTTCCTCTTGTTCCCAGTCTCAGATCCATTTTCAGCTTTTTCCATGTCTGAAGCCTACCAGGATTACATCATGACAATGTTAGTATCTCAGATGGCACCTGACAGCTTACATCCTCCTATTTCAAAACCCCATTATATTAAAAAAAAAATAATAAATAGCCCCATTTTAATGTCGCAGAAATTTATATGTGAATCCTCTGTCACAAAAACCTGGTCCAGCTGCCTCTGTGACTGTCAGCAAGGTAAATTGATGGCATCACAAAACAACATAATTCTACACTTTTCAGGGGGGAAAAAAAGCTGCAGCAGCAGCATCTCCTGCTGTCTGATTTTTGATTAAAGAACCAAAACAAACCAGTGAAAATGCAACAAAACTTATTATTAGGCCTTCAGAAATCCATCTGCTCACACTCTTCACATCTCTGTCACCTGTTAGGGACTCTGATATTTTAAATGAATTGGTCTATGGTAGCCCACAAAAAAAGAAATTTCCATAAAAATCAAGTGCTATTAAATGTTCTGACAAGCATTCACTCACTTTTGCTGAATTCACAGATCACAAACTGTGGAACAGACTAAATTAGAGCTGTGACAGCTGAACTCCTGTTGGGGTGTTAATGCACACCAGCCCTGTCAATGAGCTTTCTGGAGAGGTTAAGGCTTAACTAACTTTTTACACCCAGAAAGGCCAAATGCACATTTTGTGACTTCCAGATCACCTCCATGTGCTGTGCTTTAGGCATGCAGTCCTTGCTTCTCTCAGTGAGCTAGCCAAGCAAATGGTGTATTCAGACACTGAATGTATCCTCAGACAGCTACTCCATTTACTACTGAGTAAAAGCAAGTACAATATTTCTAAATTAAAGTAATGGCACCCTAGCACACCAGATTTCTTCCAGTCAGGAGGAAATTTCATACAATGATACTCTGTAGATACGATACAATATAGACTGTATTGTAAATGTTCCATGAGAATTCAAAATTACAGGGCTCCTCACCATTAAGCATCTTAGGAGAATTGTGTTCTCAAAACACAGACAGTTAACCCTAAAAGACCCCAAAGTTCTCTCCAGCAAGTTGTGCTTTAACAGGGAGTTTCTCCCAGAGCTGCTGCTTTCTTTGTGACTTTCTTCTCATTCCCATCCACCTACCCAGCCCCAATCCCTTCTACCTTCATCACTCTCCTTCCTCTGGGTTATCCCAGAATCCACGTTCTACAGAGACTTGTGAAGCACTGGGACGTGTCAGAGGGTTCAGATATTGTCACATGTGGGTTTTATGCATGGAAGTGCTGCAGTGACCACAGGAACTGATCCCTCACGGGACAGTGACTGAGGAGAGCCAAAGTGCAGCGCTGCAAAGAGTTCCTTTACTGATTTACCCCAAAGTGACTGGGATTCTTCCTGCACACTGAATGTTACTGTGCCTTGCAGAGTTTAAAAGGACCATGGCTACCTCCCAGGTTGCTCATGAGCCAACACAAAACACCACTGGAGCAGGTCCTACCTTAGCTTCAGACCATGTTTTTGGGTTGTGCATCCCAGTTTCAGAGGAACCTGACTCCCCCACCTTGATGTTGTTCCAACACGGAGTCAGACCATGCCTGGGAACTCCTCCTTGCCTCCACAGGGCAAACACAAGCTGCAAAAGCCTGGCCCCAGCAGCAGCTTGGCAGCAAATTCTAGAAATCAAGAGATCTTTGTAAAAGCAAGCTTTTCCACCTCAATTTTCAATATTGCTATTTAATTCGCAAATTCTCTGCCAAACACTCTTTCATGCAAGTCCATTTGCATATTTCTGCTAAAGACTGACTCAACAGAGGAATAGGAATATTTTAAGTTACCAGACACAAGGATGGTAGAAAGCCAATGAATAGTTTCAGAACTGCCAAGGAGTGATGTAAACATAAGGAAGAAACAACAAAGTGCTCCAGTGAAAAGTTCTGACCAAGAACTCTTTCAACCACGACCTGGATTTGCAAGGAGATGTTGAACAGCCAGGAATACTAAAAGCATTGCAGCTCCTATCCAGCTGCAAAGAAAGTGTTTGCTCACTTTTTAATCCTTAATCTTTTCAATATTTTCTATTTCTGAAATATGGATGTTTGTAACACAGAGCACCAAGATGTTATTTTGATAAGGGAACATGAAGTCTCCACTAATCAGTGAAAAAATGAACCATCAGTGATAAAGATACTCATTCCTTGAGGTACTGGGGCAATCACTATGAACAGATTACAGCATCAGGGTGAAAACATTTTACTAGTACACATTTCTACAATACCAGGCAAATTTATGAACAAGATAATTTTTACAGGCCATATTTAGCATTTATTTGCCAGTGATATTGTACAATGTGGATATTTCACTAAATGTAAAGCAAAAACAAACTGTGGGCACAGACTATATGAGTATAAATACAGATGTACCTAAATCCTTATCAGTGTTTCAGAGTTTTATACTGTCAATTTTAAGACTTTTATATTACCCATGTTTTACAGTAACTGCACAAGGGAGAACCATTCTAGCAGCTCTACACCAAAAGCTTTAAATTGGTTAAAACCATTCTGGTTTACCTTGTGTTTTATTATTAATATTAACATTACTGTTTTCCAAGGGATAACATCTGGGCAAACAATCAGTAGTTCACAAAAAGTAGATGAAAGTCACCAGTTTTCCAGTTTTCACAAATGTCAGCATATAAATTACCAGCCACTTAAAGCAAAAAGCTACTGATACAACAAAAGAAACCATAGCAATATCTAAAATATTCTGTGAGCAGTTGCAAATGATTACTGCCAAAAAAGGAATCAGGGCAAATATTCTTCACACACACACAGAAAAGACAACACATAAAATTACCCTTCACAGTCCTGTATGTGTTTCAGCTGGTGAAACACGTACAACACTAAAAGTTGTGCTAAAATAATTATTTTTAAAAAATAGAAACTGACATACATACTGGAAATTCTTATGAAGGATGCAGGATTTTGACTGACACAGCTTTTGACACTGATTTTAGGATTAATATCAATATTAATGACAACTTCTGTAAAGGAAGTTACTCTGAATTGAGTACATAGAAATGGAAGCATCTTTAAAAACATATTATATGATCCATCATAATCTATTATTTAATTGGAGGGTGTTAGGATGCTTTATTGCACAACCCACTAAATAAGTTTTATTTCAGGGCTTACTACTTGTCCTGTTGTGAAAAGAAAGCAAGGTTTCAAAAGTTACTGATGAACACTCAAACATGGAAACAACACAATTATTTTAAGTTATATTACCCTGCTCCTGTCCCTTTGTAAGGAGTAACTGAATTTAGAGAAAGGGACAAACCAAGGGAAGTGCAATCAGACACTCACATAAAAAATTCCCCAAATCTCTGATGTTGCTACCCTGCCAGGAAGCAAATTGTTCTCTGCAGGTCCCTAAATCTGCACTCAGAGCAAGGGCAGGATGCGCTGAGCAGCAGCAGGAGGTGCCTGAGCTGATGGAGCCGGGGTGCCCCAGCTCAGCACTTGGCTGGTCTCTAACTCACTGACCTGCATGCTCTCCTAAAGGAAAAAAACCTAAATATTGGGGTTTTTTTCCTTCTTCTTATATTAGGCTGAAATAAATTGTCATTCTCATCTTTGAAGACAGACACAAGACTCCATATAAAAAAACGAGTTCCAAAAAAATCTTTGTTTACATTAACTTAACTGGAATGTCAATTTTGAGAGTGCTCAAGTTGAATAACTCAGGACATGACACAAAAAGCTGAAGTTGTAGATAATGGAAAAGGATATTTCACAAACATGTCCACATCCCTCTTGACAAATTTAAATAAACAGGGCATTATCCACTTTTAAAAATTATTATTATTTGCTTGAGAGAGTTCTGAGTTTGTATCAAAGACTTAGGTCAAAAGTTTAAAGATTAGTCAGAAAAAAAATGGGCGTTTTTTATCCAATATAAATGTTTGCAAGAATTTTGTAAGGCAAATAGATGGGTTTCTGTCCCTGAATTCCTTTAACTATTGATTCTAATCCACCTCCACAAAGCCCTGCATTACTCAAGACATAACATACTTATCACAAACACAATTTTTAGACTTGAGAAATACACATTTTCAAATTGATCTTCCATGATCAAATAACAATCTAAAAAAAGCTTTCCAAATTGATTTCTGCTGTTCTAACCTTTTGCAAATCAGTTGTTTGGTACCTTTTGGTTTCACCTCAGAATATCTGCCAGGCTTGGAGAGACAGTGCACAACTGCATCATCAGGATACAGCTGGTCACTCCGAGGCCTCAGTCCCGAGCCATTAACAGCAGTGAAAGGTTTTTATTGATTGCAGTGGATGGCAGAACAAGCTGTACCCAGGATATGTTGCAAATTGCACTTGATGTGCTCTGGCTTTTTCCCTTTAGACACCTGTGTGATCATAGTGAAAGACAGCTCAGCTTAATTTCTAACTGATTTTTAGAAGAAGGGCTTTTTTCCCCAAACAATTGCTCAAACTGAGTTTCTTCTGATAGCTAGTTGGTTCTAAGAATGAACATTTTCTCTAATTCAGTTTCTTTTTCAGTTCATCAGCTCTCTCTCACAATGATGCTCAGGAGAGCCTTGAGAGACTCTGAAGATGCTGCCCTGCTGAGGGTGAAGGTGAGGTCAGTGAGGGAATGCACTCCTGACCTTTCTTGTTCCAATTCCCAAGCAATAAGCTGCTGGCAGGAAATGACTTTGCAGCTTCCCCACTGAATCAGGGAATTGCCTTCCCAGGGTAACAATTAATGGGCTGTGTGAGGAGTGGTGGCCCTGCTGCTGCCACACAGAGGTGGTGCCATCCCTGGGGACACAGCTAACAGCACATTTACACGGTGCTGCCAAGGCTCTGCAGTGACAGCAACTCCACATTCTGCCCACTTTGCACCTGAGTCAGTGCCACTTCCAGGGCTATAAACTCCAGAGGGAGTCCTGCCAGCTTGGATGTGCCAGATGAGAGGCAGAGTCTTTACTGCTTTCCTCCCTGGGACACTGAGATCCTGAGCAGGTTCTTTTCTCGCTCCTGCCTCACCACAAGTATTCTCAAGTTCAACTCAGTGAGGCTTTACTGGCCTGAAAATACTCTCACTGAAGATGCCAAAATGAATTCCTCATGTCCAGATTCTCAAAGACATAAAAGGTGAGAGACACACATGAACAGACAACACACTTCTTGGGTTAGTCTACAGAGGACTGGCTTGCAATTTTCCACACTTTCATTCAAATAAAAAGAGGAGTTTATGACTGGTATAATGTTGCTTTCCTTTCTCTTCACCTGGAAGCTTTGGGAAGGGGATGAATGAGCTTACTTTGTAAACTTTCCTCTGGATTTCCCAGTCCTGTTCTTCTCTTGTCTGAATTTCCCTATACTGGGTTTAAATTTCAGGATATGATGCCTGAAAAGTCTCCTCCTGCAGTACTGAACACTCCTGCAGGGACAGGGCCATGCCCAGACATTTTGGGCCAAAGCCAGAAATTAACAGCATGTCCTCATGGGAGTCGTGCCCCCTCCTCCCATTTCCACCGCTGGGTTTTGCTGATTTTTCTGATTTGCTCACCCAAGCATTTTCTCCACCTTAAGTGGAGCTGCTCTGCAACTTCATTGTGGTTCCTATTTACAGCTATCATTACAGCACTCTATTTGCTAATTCAGGACAAATTCCTCAAGCCTTTCTGTTTTGAGAAAACTTTCCAAAGCAGAGGTAAAAACTGGAATGCTGTGGCTGCTGCTTGCAATTCTGCTCTGTGGTGCCAAACCTACCAGAAACCTGAGCTGCAGCACTCAGCCTGCATGTCCACCTTCCATCCTTCTTCCACCTGACTCTCAAGTGTCTCCCCTCAGACCTGGGCTCTTCTCAGGCACCAAACCGGAGCACTTTTACTTCTGCTGCCCAATTCAATCTCCACTGAACACACACCAGTGACCTGAAACTCTCAGCTCAAGAGCAACAGCAATAGCAGCTGGCTCCTGCAAAACTTTGGGAAGTTTGCACTTCATTTATGAAACTGTTTTGTTTGGTAGAACATTTCAGTCAGACCAAAACCAGTAACATGCTAGATTGTAAAAGAATTTTGGTGAATGTCTGTGTTTTAATTTAGTGAAACAAAAACCAAAGAAAACCAGAAAAAAAGTACTAAGCTTTATCTTCCTTCAGTGTAACTGAAAATAATATCTAAAACAACTCTCTCTCAGTCATCCTCAATTAAAATACCTTAAGTTTTGAATTCAGCAGCCAGAGAGATAAATCACTTCTGAGGAGCACATGAAAAGCAGCAAAAGAAATGTTATGGTACCCTTAATTCTCCAATGACAACCATCCTGATTATTTTCTTTTTATATTTGCTTTAAAATTCAAGTAGAGAAATTTTGCTTTAAAAAAAATCGTAAATATATATTTTTAATCATACCTGTGAGTTGTAAGAACACAGATAAAGAGCAAATTTTGAGAAACAGAGTATTTTTGGCATATATGTTAATTCCATCTTTTACATTTTGCCTAACATAAACATTTCTGTTTCTTCCATGGGTAAAGCTTGTAGGCATATGTGACTGCAAACACACAGAGCTGGGATTTTGTGTTTTCAAGGACTATACAAAATATATAGAGGCGTTTGCCAAAGGTTTAATATTTCTTATCGGATTCAACCTCTGTTATTGATCTGGACGTTTATGGCTAAAACTGAGTAAATGATGTGACCTCGCACTAGAGCTCCTTGGATTTAAAATGTAACTTGACTCAGCACTATTTTATATTTTATTTCATTAGACATTTATTTTGACTTCTTACCACGTGACTTGTGTTTTGAGGGAGAGGGTAAAAGGGACATGTTGGGATTAAAGCTGAAAACTGACAGCACTTTGTGTCATCCAGGTCGAGGTGGGCCCCAGACATTCTGGCCTGATTTTTCCTTTAATGCTTTCACAATCCCACAGAGATCCATCCCTGCATCCACTTAGGTATTCAAAGGCTCTTACACCATGCAGTGGGAGTCTGACAACTCTGCTGACGTGTTTACTCCATAAAGTGGTGAGCCACTCTAAGAAACCTCAGTGGCCCATGGCTGCATTTTTAAGGAGATGCATTGCTCTGACTGAAGATGGTTCAGTTTTAGCACAACAACAGCTACAAAATGCCAAGGTGCCATGCAAGTCCCTTTGCACCCAGCCAAGTGTGCAGGAGGCACAGCTGTGTGTGAGGGGAGAGATCAGGAAATATCAGGTTTGCTCACACTGACCTGGAGTCTCGGCTCTTCCCAGATGAGGCAGCCACGGCTTCAGCACAGCTGGGATCAAGGGGAAAGCTCTGCCTGGCCCCTTGAGCCACCCAATCCTCCAGCCAGGGCTGCTCTGGAACAAGGAAACATGCCATTACAACTCCTGTGCAAATGGAACGTGTCTGCCTGGAAAGCTAAATATGTGTGATGCTGCACTCTCCACAGGAGCTGGAAATAAAGTGTTGCAATAATGAAATATTAATATTTAAAGTAGAGAAGTTAAACCTCAGAACACAATATATCACAATGCAGTTTAGTAACCAGCAAGAACTGTTCTGCACTGGTGGACTAAATTTGCTGGTGTAAAGAAGGGAAACAGGTAAGGACTCTATTTTTACTTCCACATATCTAAAATAAAATTAATTTTAATTAATGTTTGATTTGTCTGTGACAATGGCACCTCCCAGCACCAGGGAATGAGATCAGCCAAGGGCAACTGTTGTGGCCACCCAAAAATGGGTGACTAAAATCAGCAGAGAGTTAAATCCAGGAGGGGGATGGCCAGCAGGGTAACTGAGGGAAGGAGAGGTTCTGGCTCCAACTTCTTGCCTAACATGAACTGAATGGGCAAGAATAAACAGCCTCCTGCCACCTTTGTAGTTCAGCCACCAGATGTGACAACCATCACACAGAAACTTCCCAGCAAGCTGAGATGAGAGCAACTGGAGCCTGGTGTGGCTCCCAGTAACAGCTCAGGATCAGACACACCCAACACTGCTGCTGAGTCTCCTCTGCGCTTCCAGGGACTTAGTGTGCCACAGGAGATCAAAATCCCAGCACTGAGGGAGCCACACCCATAGAGACAGGAATGGGCAGAAGTGAAAAGGCTAAAGCAGGACAGCAACAGGATCAGACACGAGACCAGGATTAACTCTGGAGTGAGAGGCAGATACAGCTGGACTCAGCACACCAGTGATGAAATCATCACCATAATCACAGAAGAAGTGTCTGGATTTAAGAAACACAATCAAGAAATGTCAGCAACAGGCACTCTGAAAAACAGAGAGCAAATCAGGAAGGGGAACATGGAGAACACTCTGAATGCAGCCTTTTGGAAGGCAATAGCTGTTGTTAGAGCTGTCAGCTATAAACCACTCACAAGGCAGATGCACTTGAAATGTCTTGTCCAATACAGATCCCAACTGTCACTCAAAATGATCAGACTATTTATTACAGACTGCAATGGGAACATGAAAGAAGACATGGGATGACAGAGCAGAGACAGATGGACTCTTTGCTACATGTCATTTAATATCAATCAGTGACAAGAATTTAATTGCTTAGTTGCTGCTTTAATGCATTGAACAGGTTTAAAAACATTCAAGGCACTGGATGGTAAGTGATCATTAAAATGCACGTCACAAGGCTTCAAAAGCTCTAATAGGCTGCTGAAAATATCCAGTATCATTTATCAAAGAACCCCAAAACCTTAAGGACAGACCTCACTTGGTTTTTGAAGAATTAAGGTTGCTTCTTTACCAGCAGTCCCTGGAAGATGAGCTGAACATCTGCATTAAACTGGTGATACTGGTTTCTGCTTTGCCTTCACCTCACTCTGTTTGCTCCCTTTTAAGATTGATCCTTGCAAGGACCTAATTGAAGCAGGACAGAATGACAGAATGACAGCCAACAGAACAGACCGAGCAGAGCTCTTAGGGAGGCAACACCAAGCTGCTGATATCCCAAAAATCCATGTTTTCCCAAGCACAAACACCTTTCCCCTCATGTACCCTCATTTCTGAAAGCAGCTCTAACCCATCAGCACTGTGCATTATCCCTTATTGCTTCTAGGAGAAATTCACCCAAAAACAAAAACTTCTTATACTGAAAAAGACTGCAGACCTTTTCTCATCCCCTCCACTGACAGAGTTCTTCCCCCAGTTTAGAGCTGCCAGGTCTGGGGAGCTCTTTTTTTTTTGGCATTTCCAAACAGTTAGCTGTAAGCCAAGCTCTTTCTGCAAAAGTATTTTCTAGGGAAAAAAATAAAAGAAAAACATTCAGAAAAAAGAATACAAGGACCTCACTGTATACATTTAATTTCTAAACTGTTCTAAAATACAGGAATATAAACAGCAATTTCCATTTTATTATAAATGATTAATAAAAGTATGTTAATACATGATATATTTATTGTAATGGTTTAAATTATTTTATCTAATTATGAAAAACCTACATTTCCTTGAAACAATCATCTTTTTGGGGAAGTCCAGTAGCAGAGATTGCAACTATTCAGTAGTGATTCCAAAGATACTTTGGTGTCAAGAGAAAGAATATTTCCAGCAAAAAAGAAACCAGAAAAAGAGGAAAAGAGCCCTTTTCCCACACTGTTCCTCCTCCCAGAAGAATTCACACCCTTCTAATGAAGCCTTTAAGCAATGTTTATACACTAAGACACTTAAAAAATGAAAAGGTAAAAATCTCAAGCATTTATTCCAGTGGGATGCTTGAGATGGAAAAGTTAAACCCCTTGCAATTTGCACAAGGAGATATTTTTGTTATCATACTGACACTGACAGAAGATTTGACGTTTGCCATCTCTGTAAAATCGTTTAATCAGCTGAATTCTCTGCACAAAACACCAAATCTGCCTGAGGACATCACCCTGACCCCAGCTATGAAGAATGGGGGAGATATTATATTCAACATACGCCAGAAATACAGGAACTGAGGCTCTGGCCTTTTTGGCCAAGCCCAGTTGCTTGGCAACTCAGAGGCTTTTTAAAGAACATTTTTGGAAAACAAGGCCCTGTTGTTTAACAAGAGAGTTTTGAGGTTTGAAATTGTGGAGTGTTTAGTAGCTGAGAGTCAGTAACGTAATTCTTGAGGAGAAAATCACTTTCCCGCTGACAACGCTTCCCTCATTTCAGAAGGCAGGAATTCCTGTTGCTGCCTTTCCCGTTCCTTTTTATTTTAAAGCCAATACTGACCGCGGTCTCCCGGTATTTCCCTGCTCCTCCCGAGCCCGGCAGGTGCCGGCCGCCCTCAGGCTCGGCCGCGCCTCCGCCCCGCAGGATCCTTCAGGGGCGCCGTGAGGGGCCGCAAAGGCGGCCGCGATGGCGGCGGCACCGCGGCCCTGAGCGGAGCGGCCTCGCTGCCTCCGCAGCACAAGGGGCTCTCCCTGGGCTGGATCCCAGCACAATTCCAGCCGAGCCGCTCCCAGAGCTCGGCTCCCGGCCCCCGAAAGGCTCTGGCAGCGGCAGGGGCGGCTCCAAGGAAAACACAGCCCCGGCCTTTGCCTGGCTGAAACCCGGAGCTCCATCGGCGAGCCCGGCAAACACTCACCGCCATCCATTAGAGGAGGATTGGAGAGACATTCTCTGGTGTACCGGGTTAATTCTGGGCCAGGGGCTCAGGGATGTGCTAACTCTGTGTGTTTATTCACACAGCACACTGTGCCTCGCCTCAGCTGCAAAGGTTGGGGTTTATTTCCTCCTGTGAGCAATGAGAGAGCCAAAATGCCACCAGAGTTGGTTGTGCCTCATGAAAAGGCTTGTGCTCAAGTGCGTACAAAATTGCAATTCAAAAGCCAGGAAAGAAAGCGGGCTGAGATGTACATCATTTGCTGCTTGATTAAAACACTTACAGAAGTCTTGAACCGTTAAGAATAATAAGTAGTTCTCAGTGCATGATTTCTAATCCAATTATTTTTAAGAAGTGCTAGAAATACGGCTAAGCATTATCACCTTTGCCCCAGAATCATGGCAGAAACACAGCAAATGAGTAATTCAGGCAATCAGTATTAGGAATTAGTTTATAACTATTCCATGAGACTGTACTGTAATGTATCACACAATAAACAGAAATAAAAAGCCAAGTCTCACAACTGTCTCACCAGGGATGCAGTTTTACATGGAAGGATAAGTATGCTAATATAGGACTTGAGTATTTGAGTCTGGTTGGAGAGAAAATTTATTACTGCTTCTAAACAATATTTGTGTTGTGCCTTCTGAAAGAACATTTCATAAATTTCAATGTTTCTGTAAACATTAAAAAATTTTAGCCTCCATCTGTTAGATTTCATTCCTGGTGCCTAACGAGTCTTGTGTTTCACCTTTACGATTCCTGTTTTAGAGCAGGGCCAGGCTGAGTCTGATACAAAGCATCCCAGCAGATCCCTCACCCACACATTTGGGTTAAATTTAGGTACCTTTATAGCTCAAAGAAATGCTTTGGTTTAAATTATGTGACAATATTTCTCAGTATTCTGTATTGAATGACATACCTCAATTTGGCTACAAATTTTCACCAAAAAGAATGGAGAAAAGGAAGGAAAAGCAGAGACCAACGTTCTGAGCAAAACTGATATTCCCAGGGCTATATGAGGTTTCATCATTTGCATCCAGTGGAACACGGAACAGTTAAGCAACACCAAGATCACCTGTGCCCAAAGGCCACGCCAGAGAAAAGAGTCACAGATCAATTGAAAATCCTACCTGTGCTGGCAGTGCCAGGGCCTCCAGGCCCTTAGGAACAGAGGCATCAGATCAGAGCAAGGACATCAGAGATTAAAAATGCAAAGTAATCTTCAACAGAATTAAAAGCTGTAATTAAATGAAGTTGCTCAGTGGTGTAAATGCTGCCCCTCAGTGATCTTTTGGGAATGTGCTGAGTTATGGTTCCATTTTTCATTCAGAAACGATGTCAGACACTCACTCAGCTGGCACCAGTTAAAAGCTAAATGCAGTGAGTTACAGCATCCAGTGGCTGTGCTTCCAGACCCCTGGCTGCTTCCAGAATTCTGCCAGAAACTCGTGTGATAGTGTACAGAGATCTGAGGCACAGAAATCAGGGGATGACTGTGTCCAGCTGGCACTGAAGCCATCCTTTACACATCCCTCATTCCACATGTTACTCGTGTCTCAGCCTTAGTCTCTGTCCTGCCAATTGCACAAAAAAAGGCTTCATTTACTTCTTACCAAAGGGTTGGAGACCCAGCCTGGAGGGAAATAAAATCCCTCAATGACATTTCCACATTTTGGCAATTCCATCTACCCAGGGTTAGCAGTTGGACCTCCAGAAATCACACTGGAGATCCATACAATCATTACAATTGTGAGGAAAAGCTGTACCATCCTCCCTCTTTTAGGCACAGATCAGCCAAGAGGCAATAGGAGCACAGCAAGAACACAAATATTTACAAATTGCTGATACATATTCCCATTTTAAACCATAATTTCTTGGGAAGATGGCCTATGTCACACAGATGAAGCCTACAAGGATGCTTTAAATCCACTTAACCCTGATGATGTTTAACAAGTGAAAACTGGAATGTCAAGCAACCTGAATAAATGCTGTTTGCATTAGCTCTTTCAGACATTTTATATGAATACGCAGACAAAATTTACACATGACCCAAATTTTTTCAGGTAGCTCAAGAGTGGAGAAAATATGAAATAAATCCATAGCAATCTAACCAGGCAGAAAACAAACAAACAATCAAACAATATGAATATTGCATATGAGCCACTGCTTACGAGCAATCAATAAGCAATTATTAAAGCGAACCCATTTAAGAAGCAAATAAAAATATCAACTCTGAAAAAATTAACAATACTTTAAAGCCAAGTCTTATTTTACATGTAAAAAAGATTACCCATTCTCTGTAGAGGAGAAAACAACTGTACCCTGAAATTGTTTCATAAACCAGTGCATCTCCCATTTAGCTATTTTATTCACTTTTCAATTCCCTATTATTTATGTCAACATTTAGCTGTGCAACTTGGAGCTTGTGCTGGCTGATCATCAGCAATCTCAAATATCTAATTCCAGGCAAGGATTAATTCTATAATCATGGCAGTTCTTTCAATACCAATTCATGTCTAGACTTTTTTTTAGGGATCAAATCTAGAATCAAATTAATGGCTGTTTAAACTTACTAATTCTGCTCCCTGGCTCCATTTTCTTATTAAAGATGTCAGCTACTATTTCAGCATTGTCTGAGCAATGGCCTCTCCTGGGAACTTTATGGAAATCTCTGTGTGTCTCAGGCTGCCGAGGCACCAGCAAGATGACGAGCTGTAGAAAAACTTCACCATTCCCAGACTTCTGATTCTTCATCAAATATGACAGTAAAAAAAATTAAATATCAACATAATTCAAAGTGATCAGAAATATCTACAACTTAAAAAGGAAGAAAAGATTTTACAGTCTTCTCCTGAGATGTCAGGAATGGAAGGTCTATTTCCAGTGCTGCTGCAGGATCTCTTCAGATGACATTGTGCCCACACTCCCATGTGCTCACCAAAAATCAAATCAATATGCTTTGGCACATGGCAAACACCTAATGCAAAAATAGGCTGAACGTTTTTTAAATTTACAAAAAACTATACTCCTCAGTTTAATGCCCACTCTAAAGAAATCTATCTTTCTTTGTTTGGAGTTTTTTTTTTTTCTTTTTTTGTTTTGTTTTGTTTTCCATTTACCTTGAAATCTGTCTACAGATCAATGGCTCACAGAACAATTTCCTGAGCAAGGACAGTTCTCGGCATCAGCAGATTTATGTCAAAGGCTGCCAACAGATGAAGTCATGGAAGGAACAAATTTATATTTATCAGAAAATTAAACAATCTTGCAAACCTCTTTCAATTTAATCACACAAGTCCTGCTCTCCTGCCTATGATCCAAGCACCCACGGGGATTAAGAGCATTACAAGAAGAAACACTTTGCCCAAGCAAATTATTCCCTTACAAACACAGAAGAGAAAGAACACCAGATGTTCAAAAAGAATTGGGTGTAGGTTTAAGAATCAAAAAGGATGATGAATATGGACCATGAAATGGAGCATTAAGCAATGTGATAAGCATCTGTTGAGTAATAAACCCAGTCTTTGTGCAGTTCTTTCTTCAAAGTGAATTTAATGGAAAAGTTTTTCAGTCATAAAACATTGGTCCTTTAAAGAATGGTATTTTATGTGTTAATAATCACCCACCACCAAATAAAACACTATTTATCTATGAAATAGAAGCCTTGCACTTTTATCAATTGATAAATAAAGGGCTGCTTTTAAGGCTATAAAATCAGATGGGAAGCCACAAGTGACCCACCTTGTGAGAAAACACAAGCAGAGACAGAACCCTTGGAAAACACCTGCACAGTGCATTTCATCCCAGGTTTTTCCACTGAGGATGCACAGCTTGGGATGGGCATCCTGGCATCACTGCAGGGACCTTGGCCCAGAAACCTCTGTGAATAAAAAATATGACGTCCTCAGCATCTTTAAAGTAATTTATTTAAGTACATTTACCTTGTACTGAAGCCTTTGACAAGGCAGAATCAAAATTAATCTGATAATCCCATTATTAAAAAATCAGCAAACTCTGGGCTTCCTCCTCAGTTCACCACATAATTTCTCATAAGGAAAGCAGGAGCATATGACACATGCTGTTTTAACTGATTTGCAAATTAAACTAGAATAGTTTAATAATTAAGCTAGAAGAGTTAATACTTCCTCTTTGTTCCTGTAGGATTCCGGAGGGATGACTGAGTGGCTCCAAACACTGATGTGGGAAGTGTGGGAGGAACAGGGCGAGACCTACACAGGTGGGATGTCACTGCTGCACCTCCAGCGCCTGAGCCACCCACACACACAAACGGAGGCGGCTCAATGCACGGCCTGGCACAGAATGGCAGAGTTACCCACAGCCTGGCACAGAATGGCAGAGTTACCCACAGCCTGGCACAGAATGGCAGAGTGACCCATGGCCTGGCACAGAATGGCAGAGTTACCCATGGCCTGGCACAGAATGGCAGAGTTACCCACAGCCTGGCACAGAATGGCAGAGTGACCCAGAGCCTGGCACAGAATGGGAGAGTGACCCAGAGCCTGGCACAGAATGGCAGAGTGACTGCACAGACTCACACAAAATGGCGGAGTGTCCCACACCCTCAAACAAAATGTCTGTCAGACTCCAAAGCCTGACACAAAATGGCGCTCTGACCCCACAGCCCGACACAAAATGTCTGTCTGACGCCACAGCCCGACACACACAGACCCTTTCCCTGCTTTGCCCTTCTCCAGAGTGGCAGACACCGACTCCCCCACCTTCTCCTGCCCTTGCCCAAGATGCTGGCCCCGGCAGGGAGAGTGGCCATGGCCCCACTCACCCTCCAGGCGCTTCACAGCCGGGCTCAGAGCAGGAGAATTCACCAGAGACCGAGATACAAAACTCCTGGGGACAAGCAACACAAGTCAGATTAACATCCCAGAGAGAGTAACCACCAGTGCCTTTGGAAATAATGCTGATTTTCCCGGGGTGTGTTTTAGCAGCACCCCGGGCTCTGGTTTGAAGCGGGAGCTCATTTGGCTGACTGCTCTGGGTTTCTGGGAAGCTGGTTGCTCTGGAAAACTTCAGGTGAACAGCAGAATCCCTGCTTTTGTATCTGGCTATGAGCATTTGTGCTCTATTCCATCCCTGCTGGCCTAAATGTGCACAGCTCCTTTCTCTAAAGGCTGAATTCACAGTCTGCATTTCCATGCTGCTACTTTAGAACAGCTTTTACCTGCAAACAGCTGTACTCTGAAGGGAGTCTGCAAGCAAAACACCTGGGAAGTTCAGGGATTCCATTCCTCTGCCAGTATTTCAAGTCACTGCTCAAGTCCTACTGACCCTCTGCTCTGAGCCAACTCTTCCATCTTTACCCTTTATTTTAATGACTGATTAGAATTTCTAACTTAACTTCTTACTCCAGAATGTGTTGCTGCTCATCTTTCACCTTCTCACCTTTGGACGTTCATGCATTATTTACTTTCCCACTTCTTACTAATTTTTATCTGTGTTCTGCAGGTGACTAGACCAGCTTTGTTAATCTCTCAGTGAACTGCAGATCAGCAGCTGCTGCGCTGTTGTAACAGATCAGTGAAATAATTTTTCATTATTTCTCAGCTTTTGGAAAAAACCCACCTCACGTGAACGCTTCGGTGTCTGGACATAAAAACCATCATCTCCACAAACACAGAATTAAGCTGCAGTCTTGTTCCAGGTCAGGCCTCCCATTTTTTGTATCAATCAGCAACACAAACCCATGTGCCTGCTACACCCACAGCACAAGGGTTCCCTCTTCCAGCCCATCCAGGGGGAAGATCCAGCCCGCCCTGGGCGGCAGCAGGAGAGGAGAAGTGTCCCAGTCCCTGCAGGTGTAACAGCATTTAAAAATCAACCCCTGCAACCCACCCTCATCAGGCTTGGGGGGATTCTGCACAGGGCCTGAAAGAGGGAACTGAGCAATGAAACCACACTTGGGTACAAACATTCTCTGCCATGACAATGTAACAGGACACACCATTTTAAACAGAGGTAGGACTGATTCTCACTCCTCTGTTATGTCAGAAATCCAAACTCAGACTCTCCCTTTCTCCATCTTTCCTTCACAAGCTGCATCCAGCTCAGTCATGGTAACAAGAGCAGAAGTGTTTCTGGCAGACACAACATTTAAACTTACATCCTTCTAGGAATGTTAGAGCTCAGTTATAGGTCTGCTGGCACCAATTACCAACTTGCCACATCTCAGAGAATTCTCACACGTAAACAGGGTACTGCAAAAAATGGCACTGCCTCCTCCAATAATCAATTGTTTAAATAAAGCAGATCAACATACATTTTACTCTCAAAATATCCTATTACTCTATATGTAGCCACAATATTATACAGCATTTCTCAGGGGGGTGGAATTAAATCCATAACAAAGCACAGAATCATCCAAGATACTGCTGCACAGTGAGGAGGACATATACTTTTATTGAGATTGAAGCAATCATCTCCAGAGGCTCAGGAACAGTTGTTCAGTGCTGTGACAGTCACACTACCCCAGTGACAATTTCCTGCCTTTATTCCTACTCCAGAGTTACTGAGGGAGTGATTGCAAAGCCTTTGGTGTCAATTTGCTGTGATACAATTAGCAAAGAGAGCAAGTGAATTCCCTTTTTTCATCCACACTACAACAACGGAGTCTAAAGAACAGAAATTGGCCTAAAGCATGACTTACCTGAATGATTACAGAAAATAAAAATCCTCAGCTAAACACCCTGAAACACAACAGCACATGGAGACAGGTGGAGATCCAGCAGAATCTCACTTACCTGTAGAACTCTTGTACAACCAAGCACAACCAAGTGGATCCCTCTTGAAGGAAAATGTGCAATTTTGAACTAAAAGCTGCTCTTTGAGGAAGGCACAGAGAACATAAAACTGCAGTGAACATTTAGATTTGAGTGCAAACTCTCTCAGCTACCTTTTCCTTTTCCTTACGAGAACCATTTCAGATCCAGCTTCAGGTATCTTCATGCCTTTTGAGGGCACTTTGAAGCAAAATAACTGATTTTAATTTTTTTACAAAGTACATTACAAGTGAAGGGAGGAAAATGCTGGTCAATGAATATTTGATCTCTCCACATTTCCAGGAAACACAGAATTAAGTCTCAAAAAGCTAATGAAATCTTGCTTGAGGGATTTGCCCTTTATGAGGGTCACATGAGTGCCCCATCTTTTTCTGGTATTTATGAAGGTGATTTGAACAGAATTAATTGAAAAAAACCCATTAAGACTGCACAAGCTCCACATTGTTTGCTTTTGTATTTTCTGTAATTCTTGCTAGATGTCAAGGTGTAAATCTCATACAGAAATGGCAAATTGTTTGTGTGGGCAGAGGCTGGGTCCAGCTTCAGTGTCCAGCCCCCCATGGGAGCTGAGGCTGTCTCAGATTTAGGAATTCTGTGTGCCACAAGGGAGCCCCTGAAGGGCTGAAATGTGGGAGACAGATTTAATTATTTAACAATTTTCTCCTATTAATGAAGACTGCATGAAAAGATAAAGGTTGGTTCATTTTGGTCTTTTAGAGGAAAAGGCTTTTTACATGATTTTGATAGTGAAATTGGATTCTGTTCACACAGGAACCTAAAAGCTGTGCTTCTATTTATGTATCTTAGCATAATTACACCATTTCAAATGTCAGGTGCTGTAAATGTTAATTCTCAAGTCACACATGCAGACACACAGTGGAGTTCTCCAAGTGCAGCTCAGGGCAGGCATGGCCCATACTCATTAATGTTTTTCTCCCTTAAATGAGAGTTCCACCACAATTCTGTTGTAGAGATTTTGTGTAAATTAAATGCAGGAAAGCAAGAGTCTTTGTTGATAAGAACACAGCTACGGAAATAACTTCTGGTAACTGTTAGGGCTGGAGCTCTGAATGTTCATTTATAGTATTCATGAACCAAAGAATCATTTTATTAGATTTTAATATTCATAAGAATGGGGCTAAACATCAAATTCTCCTACTGACTACTGCCTTCATCTAGAAGATGAATTAAATTAGGTGCTATGAGTGCAGTGATTTTTGTTTCAGAAGCCATTTGTAAAGGAATGGTCTCGTTATCCCAATGTTCTCTTTGGGCAATAAATTCAGCAGCGTCACTGCAGGCAACACTGCTCACATTCAATTAATGCACTGGAGAGGCTGATGCTTCCTAATGAGCCCAATACACAGGGAAATGATTAACTCAAGAGTTTTGTTTAACATTGAAATATGCTGATTTCTCCTGCGAAAAGAAGAGGGTAACCTCCGTGAACCAGAAAAAAAAATATAGATTCCCTGCACCATGTTCCACAGTGAGAAAAAGGCTGATAAGTAATGTTTCACAGAAAAATACAAATTTTTTAAAATTAGATACTTCATCATGATTTGAGCAAGTTCCTGGGCAGGACTCAAATGCCCTCAGGCTGATGGAGGAATTGAGCCCAAGTTTTCTATTCTTAAACAAGCTGGCCTTGAAGATAACAACAGTGCAGTGGCACTGCCATCCTCTTTGAGTTTGTTAAGCAACAACTCAGCTTATCTGAGTTAAAGAATGAGTGGTTTTAACTATGCAGCAAATATTTTAGAACTTTTTTTTTTATTTCATTTGTGCATTTACTTCATTCTACTTCATTTTCATTCAAAGCATGTTTAAAATACTTTCTCAAATTAATCTTTTCCACAGTTTTTCTTTAGTTGAAATGTGACTTTTTGCATTTTCACCCTAAATGCTGATCCTGTCCTTGCTCCCCCCTCCTCTCCTCTAGTTACTTGTTCATCCCTGCCCAGAACAGGGCAACTGTCCAGGTCCAGGAACCAAACTTAGGTCAACTCAGGGCCCAAATTATCAGGGGATAAACTTCAGAAAAGCTTCATTTCATCCTCAGATAAGTTGATAAATGTTAATGCCTCCAAAATGAATATTACCTGGGAAAAGAATTCTTCTTTTCTATACGTGCAGAGATGAAATCTTCCTGTAAAGCGAGGAAAGTACCTGCACACAGCGAGGCTGACACATGTAAATGCCTCCCAAATGTTGTTTTTCTGTCACCTTGAATTCCTGCAGCTGCACTTTTATTCCTCCTCCCTGCAAAGGCCAAACAAGTTGATGTGTCTGGGCCTTAGCAGAGATCATGTAGCATTTAATCCCTGTTAGCACACAAGGAAGCACAATCCATAACGTGCTCCATTCCAGATTAAACTGTTTGCCAAGTCTTTAAGCAGCCCAGACACACAGGTCTGGACCCAGTAAGTGCCTCCAAGCCATGGTCCTGTTCCATGCACACCCAAGGAACATGGAATGGTTTTTCCTCACACCACAACTCCATCTCAGCAAGAATCCAGGCCAGCAGGCAAAGGGCTGAAAGTAAAGGACTCTTTTTTAATACAAAAAACATTCCCAAGTTAGGTCCAGCTGTGACTGTTCTCAATGGCTACTCTTCTAAAATTTTCCTAATGCTAATTCCATCTGGAACTTTTTTGGTGTGCAATGAGATAAAAAAACCCAAATTAAAAACAGTGCTAAAACATATACATAAATGAATCAGCAATTACTTCTATATAAAAAGCAGCTTCCACTATTTATCATTCTCCCAGGCAGAACTGATTTTTCAGCACTGTGTACAAATCAACCTTTCTTAATGCCTTTCTTAATCATGCTGGTATCAAAGATTACAAATATGAAACTACTTTCTTTGAGGCATTACATTTTCATTTTGGTTAGTGGGGAAAGAGATGGAGAGCTAAAGCTGAAATCCTACTTAATTCTTGGAAATGTCAGCATTTGTGTTCATTTCTCTGACATGATGATGTACCATTTGTAGTTGAAATAAATTATTTTTTCAAATTGTTATCTCTGTGCTCGCAGAACAGCCTATTGAAAATATACACTGGTTGTATTTTGTTTCCTAATGTATCCTAACATATGCCTACCTAATTAAAATAAGGCTTTATGTATCTAACCATGAAGATATTGGAAGCATTTATAAAATCTCAAAATCTGCCTATACAGGGAAAAAATATTCCACTTTTGTTGAATATTCTTCCATTCCCCTGGTGTGACTTCAATGCTCAGACTTTGGGTGAACTGAATTCCAGGCTTAAGTGTCCCTTTAAAATCAAATTGACACAGCTAAATTAACTGATATAAATATATAAAATTTTTCCTGTGAGAATTTCTGTCAGACTAATGTTGTGTTCTATTATGGATAATTAAAGTGGCTTTAAAATATCATGTATATGAAGGAATAAGTTAATTTACTGTGAATTTTTAACTAAGGGTCGCTCTCAATATTACTTATATAAATATGCTAATGGCCTGAAAACTAATTTCTGTTTAAAAAATTAGGAAAACATATCTTCATCTTATTAAAATTCAAAGTCTAATTAAAAAAAACTACAAAACCGAGACAATAAGCCAAGATCCAAGATTCCTTGTGGAACTGTGAAATTTGACAGCTGGAATGTTTTGATGTATTGGCTTTTAAACATTACTTTTACTTTTTATTTTAAGATTTCCATTTCAGAATTTCTAATCTTCTCAGTATTAACAAAATCTAGGTTCTGACTGAGCAGAACCAGCCTTGGCAGACTGCACAATGGCATTTAGCAATAACCTGACCAAATCTAAACATCATCGCTTCCCAAAATAGCTGTAACGTTCCCCATGGGTTGTGAACCCTGGAAGAAGCACCTGAATCCTCCCTCATCTCACAGACATTCTCCTTGGTGAGCAAAGAGAGGCTCTAGGATGATTTCCAGAGTTTAGCAGTTTAACAGCTTTCCAGAGAAAGTCACGTGGATATGACAGATCTGCCATGGCTCCTCTGTTCATCCATCTTAGTGAAAAGGGAGAGAGGTTCCTCAAGTGATGGATGCTAAATTAGGTTGTTCTGCGTTTTTCTGAACCTTCTAACTTGGGATTTGATGCCGAGGTTGAGTCATTTTTAAGCCCAGAAGGAATCACTCAATTTACACCTGCCACAAACCTTGACACCTGAACTGCTTTTCCTAACAAACAAATATTTATGATCCAGGGCAATCCCATCTTTCTTCTGAAGTTCATGAAACTAGAATGGCAGAAAAACACTTACAAAAGGTTGTGCTCAGCTGCTTTCTATTGGCTTTGGAAGGTGTAAAACAGAATTACACTCGTGTGCAAGCTCAGAGCAAGAAACAGGAAATAAACTCCATTCCTGTCTGCTGCTCTGGGCTTGTTTCACAGCACAGGGCAATTACAGAAATGGACTAGCTGCCTTCAGTAAGAGGCTTTAGAGTTCTCTTACAAACACACAGATATTGCCACAGCCTCTTCCAAGAGAGAATTCTGTGTTTCTTCATGCTATATCTGCATGTACTTCTCCAGTCCTGACTAAAACCATATGTTGTATTTTCCAGAGTCCATGTGGTAATACATATTAAGGAGTTTTTGCATAACTGAAATGAATAGAAGATGTGAAGGCAAATTAATGTCACATCTCGCCAAAACAACGAAAAACAAAACTATAAAGTGAGCAGCAGGAACTCTGCTCTAAATGGGTAATGATAAATCACATTAAAAACAAGTGTAAATTGCTGAGATAACATTTTCAACATTTCCTCGAGATCTCAGCACACAAAACCAGAACTGAAAAATAAATTAATTTTCCTGTCACCTTCACCAGTGTCCTTAGGTCTCTTTAACCCTTCCCTAATTGCTGGTTTATGATCCCATCCCCTGCAGTGGCAGTGCAACAGAGAGAGGCTGATGCCTGTGGAGAGCAGAGATAAATGTGATAGATTTAAGTGAATCTCACAGGGTGACAGGTTAGACAAAATGACAGAGTGCCAAATGCACTGAACACTTCTTTCCAGATCAAGTAAAAAGAGAGAGAAGCCCATAGCTGTACCCTCAGCTATACCATTACCCTTTCCATCTTGATGCCACAAGTGCACCAAGAATTATTCAGGATGAGCAAAGATGGTAAAAATTAAAAAGATTTTATGCACATGCTGCTTTGCAGAAAAAATAATTAATTTTATTAGTTCTTCAAAAGGAAATATTAATTTCAGTTCAGATTTTGGTTTAAATAAAGTATTTCTTCTGCAAAGAAACCTGAAAAAGTACTCATTCTATTTGGGTCTTCCAAATGTCTTTCTAGAAGAACAGAAGCCTAAAATTAAAAACCTCAAATCTTAGATAATTTCCTGACTAAATAATAACATCAAGTAAATAGAAGATGCTGGATGTACATGGCTGTGTCCAAGCAAAATCTGAACATTTATGAAATGCTTAAACATAGGCAAAAGAGCAAAATTTGGTGTTCTAATTCTGGCAATTAAGTTTGGCTTATTTTCATTTTGCTTTAAAGACTGATGGATCTTCAGGGCGTCTGCAGGATTGAGTAAGTACTTAAATGCAAAACATAATTTATATGCTTTTTAAACCAGAGGCTTCATGTCTGAGTTGTCTCTGGTTCCTCAGTGAGATCCTGTCCTGATGCTCTGACTTCTCTTTCCCTCTCTGCTGCACACACCTGAATTCATGGACTGCTAAAAGAGACACGGCACTTCAGTGAGTTGGGAAGAGCTGGGGTCTGCCTCTGACAGACAGCAGAGCTTATGGAAAACCTGGCAAACAAACTGGAGCTCAGCAGGGCAGGAGAAATATTTCACATAGAAACTGCCGCTAACCAGCAGGGATTTTGTCTGTTCTGGCAGAAAGAGGTGAAAAAGACAGTCTGGATATAAGCTGAAGGTGCTGGGTTTGATTGTTTTCATTATTTATATTCAAACTGATTAGAAAAAGACCCTGAAAACAATTCTGCTGATGATGAACATATTCTGTTATTAATGGAAGGGTTTCATGTACGGACTTTCATGTTTCATGGCAAGACTTTGTTTCAAAGGCAGTGAAGAAAAGAAGGAAAACCAAAAGCAGAGGGGGTGATGATGAGTTATTCACAAACATCCGGAGGTGTGCCCTGCCCAGATCACCCCTGCTGAGGGTCCTGCAGCCTGGGCTGCTGCCAGGGCAATGCTCAGTCTGCTCCTTGGCCCCTGCTCCGGGACTGATCTCACACTGCCCTGAGCAGGCAGAAAAGCCCCTGGCTGCACAGAGTCCCTCTGAAAGGCTTTTCTGGCAACCCCAGCAATTATCAACAGCTCTTGTGCAATTACAGCCATCACTTAGGGGTCCTTGCACCTCAGGGACATCTGGGAACATTTCCCACTCCTGCCTGTAACAGAGCAGGCTAATCACTGCAGCAGGAATGGCTCCAGCACATCCATGTTCCCTTCATTCAGTTCCTGCCATGGCAGATGTGCACAGGGGTGGGAATGGAGGCTCTGGGTTCTGCTCACCTTCAGCCTGGGTTAGGGGACAGCCACGAGCCTCCCTGCTGGCCATGGTTCAGGATTACATTCCCAGACCAGCACTGCTGGGGCATTGCTGCTATTGGGGTAGGGATAATTGTCAGGCTACAGCTCCTTAGCAGAGCACATCTGACTTGGAACATGACCCTGCCACAGAAATGTGCTGTGGAAACTGGGGACAATTAACACACGGTTGCTGTCAGCCTAAGATATGTCTCCTCAGACAATATCATACCTCTCTTATCAGTATTTCCCACTCCAGTCTGGGCAGGTGCTTCAGCATTTCCACAACTGGAAGCACTGCAGCAACGCTAGGGAAGCCATTTAAAATGAAGGTTGTGCTGAAGTACCTCAGTGATGGGCCTGAAAGACACCCAGAAACACCACAAGTGGCACATTAACAGAATGTGACATGTTTAACTTTATCCAGCAGACCAGACGTGCCCAGTTCCCAAGAGATTAAATATGCCTGGAGCTGGGCTTTTCCCTTATGACACAAAACTGCAGCTTCCCCCATGCCACACGAGCTTCCTTCACCTTCCTGGGGAACACTGGGCTGGAATTCCAGCTGGAGCAAGCACACAACAGCAGATGGCCTGCTGGGTTTTAATGGAACTGTGATGGCTGCACTCCATTTATGAAATGGGAAAACTGGTAGGGAGAAGGGACAGCAACGCATGGCTTTTTTTGGGTGTTTGCTTGGTTTCTTTTCTTAATTTCAGTTACTGAATCACAGCAGGAGTCCCTCATACCGAACAAGGGCTCCAGCACCACACAGCAGGTCTGGCTTTGTGGGCTTCCTAAACCTCACAAGCCCAGGGACTTCTGGCAGTCCAGCTGCACCAAGAGCCAAAATTTTCCAAGTCTCAGACTTAGCCTGGGGTGGGTTAAAGCTGGCTGAATTCCAGGCTTGCTCTCCAGCAAGGAGGTTGGAATTGCTGGGACAATCTGAACCTTTGGGAACACAAGGATGTCATGTTTTGACATGCCTGTAATCTAAGGCATAGTTTCAGTCCCATTGTGACTTTTCAGACTGGAGGACATAATAAATTGTTTTGGCAACATATTTATTTTTTAAGAAATAATTAAAATAATTATGGTTTTGAGGAAACATGGAAAAATGGTGCCTTGTAGCCCGGCCAGATCCAACACAAATGTTGGTTTTGTGGGAAATGTACTTGAAGCTAAGATCTTTCAGTTCTGGAGTCCTGAAAAATGTGTAGCTTATATGCAAGATGCCCCAAAGATTTTCCACCTGATCCTTACAAAAAGCTTTTTTATCTTAAGAAAATGGAGTGCCTCATCTTTTAGGCTATTCAGAGTCAGTTCTAACCCTAGAGAATAATGAAGAACCAAAAAGCCCAAATCACAACCATACCAAAAGCCACTAAAACATTCACTTGCATAAAATTACAACACTTCCAGTAGTTTGGAAGGATCTTGCTTAATGGCTCTAGCACCTCAGAGAGTGTAAAAATGGTGAGTTACCTTTTCCCAGCAGCTGGAGCTCTCAGAGCCACATCTCCCTTGCTGTCTCTGTCAGGAGGACAACGAGGACTGCCAGGAGCAGCTGCTTGGGGCTGGCTCTGCTCAGCCCAAGGTGAAAGGAGCCAGCAGAGCCCAGCATCACCACACACACACTGGAGAGGAATAACATGAACAGGCAATTACATTCTTTTCTCCCCTGCTCCTGTCAAAGCTGCTGCATTTCTAACATCTTTCTGGGGTTTGACCTCCATACCCCTCCCCTCACTTAACAAGACACAAAAGTCACCTTTCTGGGTCACATTGCAGATGTTAATGCAGATTTGTTCTCTTCACTCATCTCTTTTTCTTCCTTGAGCATCACACCAAGGGGCACAGAAGATGGTGCTGTTGAGAATGAAGTGTCTACACCAAGAAATTCTCCTATTTTCAGGAAGACAAATGTTTTGCCAAATACCTTGGCAACATTTTCTCCCTTGTTTCTCTATTCTGCCATATCAGTTCATCTCAGCACAAGTGGTGGAGTTCACCACAGCATGAAGCTGGGGCTGCAGAGCCTCACTATTTTCTGATCAGGTGAAAAGGTTGACAGCCCCTTGCAAAACCTCATTAGCACAGCCATTTATTGCCAGGCAAATTTGCACTGGCACCAGTGAATGTTTTATGGGGCTCTGGCTGCAGGCCACCCGGAGGTTTTACATCGCTGGAGGCATTTCACACACATTATTCCTTAATAAGCTTGTGCTGCTCTTTAGAATGAGTGCCTAGCCAGGATGCTCCATTGATTTATTCTCCAGCTGCCACTTCAGCAGAGGAGAAGGAAGTTTATCCTCTTGCTGCTCCTTCATGTCTCCTCCAGAAATGTCATGGGACGTGGCTGCCTCACCTGGAAACACCAGAGCTGCCCAAGGCAGTGCTGTGTCACCTCCCTGTCCTGGTCCTGCCAGCTCTGAGGGAAGTTACTTCCCTGGCAGCTCTCTGCTCACTGCCAGCTTTCAGTGACTGCAGGAATTTCCAGCCTCAATTTCCTTCTCAGCCAGCCTTGCTCCTGGTGTGCTGCTGCAGATGTCTGAGGAGATTCATCAGAGTCCTGTGCCAGAAGCCAAACTTCTCTTGGGCATTTTCCAGCTGGCCCCAGCAGCAAGTCATGGGAGCCCTTCTTTAAAGCTCCTGAGAATGAAGAGAGCCCAAACCAAGCTGAATTAAACTGCTGAGCTTCTCTTCACATCACTGCCTGCAACTGCAGGATAACGCTCCTGGGTTGCTGCTTTTTCCCCCTCCATATTTTTCTTTTTATAAACACAGTGCCATGGGGTTGTTTGTTGTTTTGTTTACAGATGCACTGATGTGAAGCAAGGGCTTAGTCTGATCAGAAATTGCTTCTGGTTATGCAGAGCTCAGTGGCACACACTCCACTGCTTGTCTCCGTCCCCTGGCTGATGACTCCCCTATGATGAGTGGAGGAAGGGCTGTGGTTATGTCACTGCTTTGTTGTTGTTGTTTTCTTTGCCTGTCTCTTGTCAACATTATGTAATTTATGATAAAAGAGGACATCAGCAACAAAAGCCACTGAAACCCTGAAAGCTCAGGAACAAACTCACACACACATTCTAGTGCCTGGTGCCTGACAAGTAAGGAAAACTTGGCAAGGTGGCTTTTGATTAGATAATATTTCAAGCAATCAATTCCTCAAATGAATTCCTTGTGAGGTCTCAAAAAAAGTTCTGGACGTGCCAAAATAACAGCAGACTACAACAGCTTCTATTACTCATGTTTAAGGAGGACATTTCCTCCACAAAAAGGATTTCTCCAGAACTGAGAGCATGAGTTGTAAATGCAGTTTATTTTCCTGCTGGAGACACAGCAGGAGATCCCATGGGAAGTCCCCTGCCCCCAGGCACCCATCCCTGAAGCACTGATATAAAGTATTTATAAAACTACACTTGTAATAGCCCAGACCCTGCAAGGAGGTGTGAAATCCAGCTGTGCAATAACTCACTCCATATCCAAAAACTGCTCCATCCAAGCTTCACGCTCACTAAAACCTCGAGAAAGACTTTGATTCTTTCAGGATGAGATGGATTTCTGCCTCTTCTTGATTTGTCACTCTGCTGCCAGCAGGCAGCATTTTCACTTGGTACAAGACAGCCAGCACTGTCAAGGCACTGTTAAAAGGACAATAAACAACAAAGTAATTATGGAGAGATCCTCTGCCTCCAGGAATTAATTCCATTCTCCCCTTCAATCTCTGATCTCACAGGTCAGTGTCTAGAAATCCTTTCCAAAGAGCTTCCCAATCACCAGCCTAGCACAAGTGTAGATCTGTGCCATGTGGTGGCTCCTCAGAGGCGGCACTAAATGTATTTTCCTCCCCAGTCCCTGCAAACACCCCACAGAATTCCCCAGCTTGCCAGTGTCCCAGTGCCACAAGGCAGGTGCCAGGAGGCTCAGAGCAGAGCTCCTGCCCCTGGGAGCACAGCAGGAGCAGCCTGGAGGGGCAGAAAGCCTTTAAGGAACCTGCAGCTCCAGCAGCTGGGCTGAGCTGCCAGGACTTCATCCCCAGCTCCATCTCTGCTCCTCCTGCCCCAGGTTATTGCACTGTGAAGTGAGACCTGGCAAATCCTCCTCTCTCCCCCTGACACCCAGAGCCCAGTGAAACAAGAGTGGTTTGTGTTTCTGCAAACCTGCAGGGAGAGCACACACCTGTAAATTCTGCCGTGTGTTATTAAAAAAGTTTAACTCCAGGAAGAATTCAGACCTGCGACCTTTAAACTTTCTTCTCTGACAAGAAAATTCAGTAATACACAGCATGGGGATATTTGGCATGAAAGGAAAATGGCCACAGATTTAATTAAAATGTAAGTTATTGTTAGCAAGAAAGGTCATGCTATGAAAATGTAATTTCAGGAGTATATTAGCAACAACACTCCACTGTTATTTGCATGTGAAATATAGATTTTGTACTTGACATTTAGAAAGGAAATTGGAACTCTTTCTAATGGATGCTTGAACACTTTTGTGTTCTTGTGCTGCTTTTGTTCACATTTTTGTCTAATTGGCTGGATCTTACATACAACAGGAGTTACATTTTAGTCTCTATGCCTGAATGCCTAACTGATCTGGGAATTAGCTCACAAAAGCTGATATAAATTGCAATAGAAGGGAAACTGCAACATAAGAATCCTTACATGGTTACAGCTTCAGAGGAGCTCAGACCTTCACAAGTATTCCTCATTTTAGGGTAGGTCATCACCCACCTTCCAGGAGCATTTGGGGTTTTTTAACATCCCTCAGGCAAAGTGATTTCAATGTGACCAAGAGCCCATTTTGTTTACAGGGCACTGAAGGACCTGTGGAGAGGAGGCAAAGCTTTTCCTGGGAGAGGGTGCTTGTTTTGTGATCTGCTAAAGACAGTGACAGTGACATGTGTCACACAAATCACTCTGACTCCGGCAAAGTGGGAGGTGAAGGCAGAATGCACTGGCTTAACTGAAAGCATTTGTTTAAAACCCATCACTGCAGTGGGCTGGGACTGGAAAGAACACTCTGAAAACAGCCACGCTCTGCTGCTGACTACAGAGAGGTGTGTGCTCACTCACAAGAGGTTTTTGCTGATTTCTGCACCCCTAGTCCTGCAGAAGCAACATCAGAGTGAATGAATCTGTACAAATGCACCTTCTGCTTTATCCACACCCTCCCGTGCCCAGGTGTGCTGGGAGCACAGGAAGCACTGCAAGCACTTGCTGAGGTGCCATTCTGGCCTCCAGAACACACACAGCTAGTAGAGGGCCTCAAAAAGCTTTATCAAGCCCGGCACTGAACACTGGCTGGAAATGACTTACCTTGCTTTGGGGGACTTTCAGCTTCAGCTCTACACAGCAGAAATTACTTCATTCCAGGGAGCTAAAACTTCAGGAACAGTAGGATGGCAACCCAAACTACCTGAGGAAGAAGCTGCACTGTAAGAAAGGCTGACGAGACTAAAAATAATGCTGCACATCACCTTTTATCCTTTCTACCACCACAAAACAGAGGGACAGGACACTGTGGGAAGCACGGACACACTTCTGTCCTCAACACCTTTAAGGAATAAAAAGCAGCCTGTGGTTTGAAGCAAGCCCAAGGGCAAACAGGAAAATGGGTACAGAGACTCCCAGCACCAGCTGGGGCCTGTGTTACAGAAAGATTTACCCCTTGGAAGCCAGCTGGGACAATCTCTGCAGCCTGTTCCCTGATCCCTGCCTCTGCAGGAGAGGCTGAGCCTCAGGCAGCACAGGCAGGCTGGGAGCAGAGCCTCACTGCAGCTGCAGCCTCTGGATTAGGGGGATTTTTGTGTTCAGAGCCCCAGAACACGGCACAAATGGTCTGCATGAGAGCATCAGAGTGGGCTGGACCATCTGCTGGGCGAGAGCAGCTCCACACACTGCTGGCTCTCAGTCTGCACAGGGCTTTTCTGCAGAGCCCCTGCACGCCTGGCAGCAGCAGCTTTGATTTCAAATACTGCAGGGAGCTTGTCCAGTGCCAGCCAAGTGGTTTTGTACAAACAGGAGCAATGTGTGGGATGGAAGCACAAAAGAACAGTCTTGGCTTCCTCAACATAGGAGGATTAATAAATCAAGGAGTGAGCTTTAAATCTGATGGGAATAAACCAGAGCACAACATTCCCAACAGCAGGGCTGAGCAGCACCTTTACTTGCACCCTGTGCAGAGGAGTGCAGCTGTGAAGTCACAAGAACAAGCAAAGGAACAGGGTTAACAGACCCAGAAAGTCAGGATTTTGTGTTTTCTGACTGTGTAGTTGAAAACAAAGTTCCAGAACTGCCCATCTATCCAAGGTTTGATACAACCATTAGCACACAGGCAAAGTAGTAAATCAGAATATTTTGCAACTGCACTTGTAGAGATCAATCTTTTGTGCATTACTGCATTCTTAGTAGATATGTGAATTAAGCCCTAAAACAGTCTTTGAAGAGAAAGGAGTTCTCAAAAGCAATAGAAGCAAAGGTGTCACCAATCAGTGCCTTCCAGGGCAGTCACAAACACAAGAACCTCTGCCAGGACATCCTGGACAGATCTCCTCCAAACTGCAGAAAGTTCCCCACTGTTAATGAAATGCCCCTGTAATTAGTGATGGCATCTTTCAGAGTTGCTTTTAATCAACTCCACATGTAACTTGGCTCCGTGCTACTTGCAAAGGATGCAGGGTGACACCAGTTCAAAGACCCAACAGACATCTCAACACATTGCACAGTCACCAGCTGCATTCCTGATGCACAAAAACATCCAGTGCCTTGGACAGCCTGCAAGTTTTCTTCTTTATACTGAATTTAATTTCACTGATCACTTCTCTCTCAGACCTCTTCCCTCACAGGCACAGCAGAAGCTTGGTGGGTTTTTCCCAAGCAACTTGTTTTGGGCTACCATAAATAACCCCCTTTCCTAAAGGCATTTAATCTTGGGCAAAGGGTGAAAGAAAAGGCTGGGATGTGCTCATACAGCTGGGCTTCAGTGTCAGATCAAGCCTGCTTTCAGGGCATCCAGGAATATTACACAGCTAAGAAGAAAAGAAGATAAATACAGGGCACAAGTACTTATTTTTGGAGATCATGAGGGGAAATGTTACTTTCAATGTACACTTTTATAAAGCAGCAAAATATGCAAACATCACAATGATAATTATAAAAAGTAAACTAAGTTATTATCAACAGCAAAATCACCCTTAATAAAATATTCTAACGCTTAGGGGAAAAAAAGCAGTGCACACTGAATATTCACTGTGAGGTGAGTGCACCCAGAAACAGCAAAATGTTCTGAGGACCAAATGATACTGGCTGTGCATAACAGGGACTTAGGGGAAATGGCACAGCCACACTCCATTTATTATCAAATAGTAAATTAGCAGTGAAATACAAGGTTCTGTATGGAGGGGAAGTGAGACCTTTGAATGCTGCCCTGAATGTGCATTGCTGCAGGGGGATTGCTGCCTGCCAGCCCCAGAGCCTGGCACAGACTGACCCCTGGCCAAAGGCAGAGGGGTGTGGGAATCCTGCCAGCCCCTGGACATGGACAGCATTCCCTGCTTTGCTGTACACACACAAATACAGCATTTTAAACTTCTTTTAAAGGGAAAAAATGGCTCAGCAGACCCACTGCAGTCTATTTATGCTGCTTGCTAAAGGGGTCTGTGCTGCAGGTGCAGAATTGCCCAAAGCCATCACCCCCAAACTAAAGCAGGCACTTGTACTGTTTGCTTCCTTTCTTCCTTGACCTCAGCAGAAACCTTGCATTTGCTTTTTTTCCAAAGGGAGGGAAACTGCTGGCAGCAACTCCCATGGGACTGAGCTGATGAACTGATCAGCATCCTAAAGGAGAAGGTTAGACAGGGGATTTTCTATTATGGAGCCATTTTCATTGGAAAGTAATCTTGTTTATTAACTGCCTTTTTATCTTCTCTGGAGGCTTCCCTGACACGAGATAATGGAATTTACTCACTCTTTAGTGTTTAAAACCATAATCATATCCAGAAAAGCAAGCATTTACTGTGTCATTAAACCAAGGTAGGGAGGACTGACTTGAGGAGTTCTTGATGCCTTACAGAGCTTTTTATCATTTCAATTAACATTGCCAAATGTTCTGGCTTATACTGCAGGCATAAATGAAGTTTTACAGGCTTTCTAGGTGTGTTTATGTCCTAATTAATTTTAGCTACTGAGATCAGTTGCAAGAGTGAGACTGCACACAGAAAACCCAGGAACAGCTGATAAAGGACAGGGCCATGAAAAGCAATTTACTTTACCCAGGGAAAGGTGCCCAAAGGCACCTGCAATACAGGGCCTGCACAACTTGTTTGCCTGCTAACTTCATCACTTCTAAATGCCAGTTTAAAAGTTCTGCTGCTCCTTCTCCCTGTGCTCTGACAAAGGCAAAATGACCCTGACAAAACCCTGTTTCTGTTTCCTTGCTCCCTGCGACAGCTGAATGGTGCTGGACCAAAGATGCCTCTTCCCAAGGCCCAGTCCATCCATTTTCCCGTGGGGCAGAACCCTGTGAGCAGGGCTGAGGCTGTTGGCTCCTTTTAAATTTAAAATTTAAGTGAAAGCTAAAATTCCAAAATCATTCCTGTTAAGACAATAAAAGCCTTTTCATTCATTAAAAGCTAATCTTGTTTCTTACAATTACAACTTCAACAACAGAGAGCTAGATTTAAAACACCCTTGGAAAAATGCTGAAAATTTTAAAATACTCACTTGAACTGCATTGAGAAGTTAATATCAAATTTCCTTCCACATATAAACATGGGTTAACAGTTTGCCATTTTTAGAATGAGCATTTCCTTTTAACAATGCCTCATTTATAGTTCTCATGAGCAGCTAAGATGCAATAACTCATCCCACAGTCTATTCCAGAGCAGTATCACTGCACAGCTTTACCTGGGCCACCACCACAAAAGCTCTCAGGGCAGATGATGGCACAAGCTCTGCTCTCCCCATTTGCTGTGCTGGAATGAAAATAACGCAGCAAACGCAGCCAAGAGCAAACATCTGCACAGGCCTGGGGCTCTGTGCACCCAGCAATGCAGCAGCCTGACCCACAGACCCTGCAGCAGCAGCACCTCTGCTGCTCCCTGCTCCTGCCTCCCAGCTGGGAAATCATCCTGTGCCCGCATGGGCAGAGCCCTGGGGCAGGGCTGATGCACCTGGGCTCCCTCTTGCTGAAATAACAAATGGCAAGCTGGCATTAAAGGCAGTAGCTGGGGTGCTCTGCCACCAAAGACCAGATCTCTGATGGATGGAGTTTTCCAGAAGAGTTCATTTCATATTTACTCTGTTTTGTGGGTCATTAAGAGCACATTTACAAAGCAATGCCTCTAAAAATTCCTTCAGTAAGAGATCCAGGTCAGCCCTCATTGAGAGGGCTGTTTTGCTGTATTGACAGAGGTTTTTCTCTACATCTTTCCAATATGCACACCAGCAATAAATATCATCACCACTGATTAACCAGACAGAATATCTGAAATGTGAATACAGCCTGTGGAACAAGACAGAATAATGCAAGAGTTAGCACAGTTAATAAAAGAGTGATTCTTTCCTATTTATTGTGGTAAGATGAAAGAACATAAAGATCCATCAAGAAATAACCAGAAAAAGCCACTCTGAATGAGAGAGCCAGTTGTTGCTCATTTACAAGCTTCTCTAAGTTACTGGTGTTGTAGGGACTGCAGATGCAAATGTCAGAATTAAATTTATCAAGACAAAATGTCTAAACTCCTTTCCATGGAATTCAATCAAGAAATTTCAGTATAAATCAACACAGAAAATGTTATCTTAATTATTAAAGCCACCTTGCATATAAATCTTCTGTTTCTGACATGTTATTTGTCATCTCCTTCAACTCTGGAAATGGATAAATGGGCTGAGAAGCAGCTGCAGGTTGGGGAAAGGGCTCTCTCTTACACACCTGGCAGGATTTATTTGGGGTAAGGAAAACAAGGTGTTGACATTGGGCCTGAATTAGGAATGAACTACAGCACAGAAGATGCTGATATTTATTATCTTACCCTTTGGGGGGCTTTCTTTTAAGGGCACACAAATATCCTGAGGTCTCTCAGACAGATCCTGTAACACATCAAAGCAAATGTGGAGCTGTTGCCTCATTGTTCAGGGCACTGACCATCCCACAAAGGTTTCTTCTCTTAACCCTTGAACAAACTTTGGGGAACCAGCAAGAGCTGAAAGTGAGTTGAGACTTTTATCCCAGGCCAACAAGGCTGGGACAGGAGAGATTTATTGTAATTTATCAATAAAACAAACCAGGTAGCCACAGGCTGGCTCTGACGACTTCACAGGAACTATGCAGACACCTGAATGTGTGTATTTAGCTCTGCCATGGCTGGCAAGGAAAAAAACATATTTAGCCATATTTTTAAACATTTGGGCATTAAT